AATCATATTTTAAATTTCATAGTTTATAATTATATTAATCTTAATTAAATTATTAAATTATACTAATCTTATTTATATTTGATTATACTAATCTTAATTATATTTAATTATACTAATATTAATCTATAATTATTTTTATTATACAATAATTAATTTTTTAATATACTATTTAATTACTTACAAATTATATTTTACTTGAATTCTCGTATTTATATGAATAAGTCCAAATTATGTAGGACCAATGGAGTATGAGTTATGATAATTTTAGATTATATATTGAATTAATTTTTTTATACTAGTTCATATAAATTTGTTTAATGTGTTATAAATTAGTATAAGTTGTATATGAGAGTGTAAAATATATATGAGTAGACAAAGAAGATCGTAAAAATTATCTTAAATAGAAAATTATAATAAAAGATTCGTGACATATATAATATTTTTAAGTTATATATATATATATAAGGAATAAATTTTGATTTCCTTATTTATATATGCTCTTTTATTATTTTTTACATACCCTCTATTTTTTGCATAACGATAGTTTGAATTCGCAAGTTATTGAATTTTTATTATTATTATTATTATTTTCTCAAGCTAGAATCTAGAGATTAGGGGTTTGTTTACTTTTGCACTTATTTTAATATTTGCATTCTGATTTTTAAAGATAACTATTAAATGTAAATATTCATGTATAAAATATAGTATTATATAGTAATATATATACTAAAATTAAACAATTGAAGTAAACACAATCTAGATAGATTTTATGTGAGGTTTCAAAATAAACAAATTAATTTACAAACAAATAGTTATTGGTAGTTCAAGATCATTGGTCTTTTATTAAAAAAATAATAAATAGTAATAATATAATTTAATTAGACGATTAAATTCGATCATACCGAATCATAAAACAAAAATAATAATTGAGCACATATATACAAGTGTAAAATCACAAATACTATATATATAGTTGTTTACTTGAACTTTTTTTTTTTTTTTTTTTTTATGTATGTTAAATAACTATTAGATGTTGATATATTGCATAAAAATTACTTATCAAATATGACATACTTCAAACATAATTTAAAAATTGAAAATAGCACAATTTTATTTTTCAAAAAATAAAAATCCAAATTAACACACCAAAAGTTACGTTTAGCTGGCTATTCATATATAGACACCTCGAATTCTTCTTTGATGAAACTACAGTATCTTACATTAGTTCTAAAAAAAATAATTCCATCCCAAACAAGAGCGACAAGTCAAGTTTTGCATTGACCTAGTCGAGGCGATCATACTCAAGTCCCGATCCAACCCAATTATATCGATAAGCCGGGCCCCCATTCACATTAAATTCCCCATCGATCGGACATTAATCCACGAAATTAGCAGAGAGATCGATCGATCGATCAATCATCCTCCAATTATTCTCTAACAAGAAAACCCTCTAACCAAAACAAAGGCACACAAAGTACAACAGTTGGACACACTAATTATTTTTAGCCACTGAATATACATAAATGTATGTGTGTATATATATATAGAGATACACAGTGTGCATGTGCATGTGCATGTAATTGAATTCAATTACAGAACTGAACTATAGCTGCAAAAGATTGGTAATTGGAGCTTTCAGAATTACTGAATTTGGGCATGAAACCCATGTGGTGTCGATGCTTGGTGCTCAATTAGCCAACCCCATATATATATATATATATAATCAATTTTTTATTTTTTAATTATTTTGAATGTTGAGAGTACACAATTAAATCAAATTAAAAGTAAATTACATTTATGCATGTATATAGAAAGGACGAGTGAGGGTGGGGGTGGGGTGTGGATTTATTGAATGATTTTAATATAACGTATGCATTAGCTTAGGTAGGTTTAATGGTTTGGAGCAAACAATTGATTTGTGATGCCTTTCTTGGGCTTAAACAAAAGGGTCATCTCGTGTCGAACTTATTATGGGTAGGGTATAGGGCATACCAACTTTTCTATTTTTCTTTCATAACTCCTTGTCACAAGTATTATGGAAAATTAAATAATTTATGAATTAATTAACTAAACAATATATATATATATATATATTAGGGTAGTTGGATAGCTCATTATGAACGATTACTTACTTATGTGTTGTCAGTTTATATTATAAATCATGGGTATATATATGGATTGTGTGGTGTATTACTATAGATATAGTCAATTTATCTAATGAATGAATGAGTCAATTAAATCATATATATATTAGGGCCGTTGAAGTGCTGATTATGAGGAATTATTTGGCCCATTATTGGAATTAAATCAATATGTGATGTTTTGAATTACTTTTTATTTGTTGTCGGTTTATACTTTATATTTATAATATGTTTACATCTACATTGGATGTGTTTACTTTTGGATGATTACGGTGAATAACATTATTTATCCAACTTCATTATATATCTACTATAATAATTAAACTCCAATATTGAATTAAGCCCTCTACACACTAATATGCTAATTAAATATAGGGGTTCCTACGCTATAAAAAATAATAATAATAATAATAACTAAATGTACTTAGATGGATATGATTAATTTATCCAAATAATATTTAATAATAAAATTTATGTTATCTTATATTTAATAAAATATAATAAATATTATATTAATTAATATATTGAAATAATCATACAAATTATACTTTAATCTTTCAAAGTAAATGCACTATTGTAATATAAATCATGACATCTTTATTATGTGTAGTATTACTATATGTTGTCAGTTAATCAAATATATTTGTGAGATAGTAACATCAATCTAGTGTTGAATACAATCATAGCATTTGTGGTGTATGCTATTACTATATTTATCGATTAGCACTAATAAAAACCATCCTAACCGTCACTATATATATATCTTTCATTTTATTTTATTTTTTTATATAAAAAAAATTTTAATATAAATATCTCAAAATCTCTTCTCAAACTCAAATGGATGTTGTAAAAACCAATTTAAATTTGTGCAAAAAGGATTGAAGCAACTAGAATGATGGAACTTGGTGAATACATTTGCATTTTGATTTTCAAAGAAGATGACACACATTCCCTAATTTTCATGAGCCAAATGGTGAAGGAAGAACGTTATAACGATATATGTTCATACGCTCATGAAAAATATTATTATGAAAAATCGGAATAACACTTAAATATTGTAATGCAAAGTAATAGAAGTTAACTAAGGTACCAAAGTATCAACAAGTAGCTAGAGAAGCCTCAAGAGATCAGATATATTATTAGCAAAGAAAATACTTTAATTTAGTATTAAAATAAGAGACGACAATTTATTTCTTATTACATTAAAATATAAGAAAATCATGAAGAAAGAAATAAAAACAAGTGGTCGAGCGACGATCTGTAGGATCTCTTGCTCAATCAATATCAAAGTACTAAAAAAACTAAGAATGGCCAAATTGAAAAATATAATTCATGTAATAGAATTTCTTTAGCATAACGAAAAATATGCAAAACTATAAAGTAGTGGATAGTGTGAGGTGCAGCTATGAGTTGACTATTACCACGTGAGCAATATAGGTAATGTCATGATGAATGACAATCAAGCGAGACTAGCACGTGGATATATGTTGAATGGAGACGGTGAGACTCGAACTCGAGACCTAAGACTCTCATACAATGTTAGATGATTTGAAACTTTTAGGTGAGATGATCATTCAAATCATCTAACAGGTGAAATGCAACAATTAGCATCAAGAAGTGTTAAAGTTGTCTTGTAATCAATGAGACCAAAACAATACGACATATCAGAAGTATATTTGACCTGAGACATATATGATATCCATCATAATTATCAAAAATATCAAGATACAAGAAATGTCAAAGGTGACCAACGCTCGTATTATCAAATTACTATTGTAGTAGTACTATAAGTCATATATATCAAACTAATTATTCTATTGAGGATCATATCACCACTATAGAGGGGCAAAATAAAATTTAAAAAAAATTCTAATAGATAAACAGAGTCATGTGAACTAAAAGTAAAAATAAACTAAAAAAAGAGTTAAGCTTTGACAAACCAAAGACGTTGTCACTTGTGCTTATTTTAAATCATAAAGAACATGTTGCAACTTGCAAACTTCAGAGAAAGTGTAGAACTGAATGTAATATCGTATAAACATTGTCAAAAAGATCAACAAAGAGAAAATTGTTCTTAACATCCTACAATAATAAAAATCACTTACAAAAAACTACACCAATTATACAAACAAAAGAGATAAGACACGTGATAGAAGTAAAACTCTACTTATAATTAATCCTATATAATTGTAAGTAGTCTTTTGCGGCTAACCAAATCTTGTAACACTCAACAAATTCATCAAAGCTAGTTTGATCTTCAAAATCCATTTGCAAGTGTTTTTACTATTATACAGGTCAACTAATTCCGATGTATGAGTTTGCAAAATTTATCCATTATTCAAAAATATTTTCCTTTTTCTACAAACTTCAATTAATTTCATTACAACTTCAAATTATTTCTCAGTTACACCTATTTTATTTTAGTTTAGTTTCGATTTGTATTTTATTTTATTTTTTGAAAAGGGAAAAAAGTTTGCTTTTGTATAAGATTTAAATTAATATATATTGAATATAATATAAATATACAAAATGCTACAATAATAACATAAAACACACAAACTAATGCAAGTGTTATTCATATTCGAACTTTGTATTCAACACTATATTTTACTACATCAACATATTCTAAATTTCTATTCTAACACATGCTCCAAACATTTCTAAACGTCTACACTCTGTTACCTATACACTTTTTAACAGTATTCATCAACAATAATAATAATAAATATTTTTTAAAAAAAATTAAATCAAATACCTAACTTTTTTCTATTTCCAAAACTTTTCCCAACCTCAAAAACCCATTTTTTTAAAAGCACCTATAGTTCATATAAGTTTAAATCAAGTACGATTCTGCGAGCGGAGCATCAAAACCAGCTCAAATTAGTTCTATCAAAACCTCATGGCATAGCCCGAAAATGACATACATAAATAGTAAAAATCCGATAAATGTTCGCGAGAAGAACCCTACCCGCAAAACGCCATTAGAAGACGATGCTCGCAATTCTTTCCCTACATTCGAGCGCAAAACCACAATTAATTAGACCACATGGTACTAGGGGAAAAAGATGCAAGAAAAAAAAAAGGCGCTAATTCGAGGCCATGCGCTGTCTTAAATCTCCGAGGGGTCCATGGCCTTTTTCCACAAACTTACGATTGTTTTCGCACGTGCACTGACTAACGTTGAGATTGGCGCCACAGTTGAAGCACAGCCCTTTGCAGTTCGGGTTGCAGACTGCGCTGATTGTGATCTCAACGTGTATGAGGTCTCGTATGTTTTTCGAAATGTCGATTCTTTTTTCTTCTTGAGGGAAGTACAGCTGGTCCTCTATGTCGATCAAGGCTTCCTCGTCGGTCCCATCCTCTGTCTTGAAATTCTTGGATTTGTTGTCCCCAAATATCGTTCCCATGTCTATGATCTCGGGTTCTTGAACAGGCTGTTCGTGTAGTAGGAGTGAGAAATCGGAGTAGACGCCCTGAGCAGCCGGCTCACCACACCTGTAGACATAGAGATGTTAATCGAAAACGTGGCAGAATTATTGCAACATGGCTAGGCTCAAATGCATCCCATGTTGTCCAAAATTGTCGTCCGGAGTTCAGCCTAATCATGTGCGATGGATTGAATTTCACATGACGAATATAATTCTACAGCAACCCTCAACACCCGAGGCACTAGCTTCCCATGTTATCGGTTTACATTATGTCTAGCACTATCACAACCCAGACAAATCCGGATAACCTTAGCCCGCGAAGTGCCCCTCGATTGTTCTTCTAACATGGCGCCGCAGGTGAGAGTCCAGGTTATTGCTATTCATCACTATTTATATAAGAGCTTTCGATTTATCCTAAACTACTGAGCTCCATTAAGGTTTTCTTCAATCTTTCGACATGTCTAGAACATCGAACTACAATTTTACAAATCCCCTGTCGAATTTCAGACAAAAATGGTGTCTACCTCAAACAATCAAAACTAAGGATAAACAACACAACACAAGTTGCAATAACAAAGACGCAATCTCATCATATCCAACAAATTAAAGCACCAATTTTCACAAACAACATTCAAAGACATCAATCAGACCAAGAGAATTAGGGTTAAGGTATAATTTTGTTCTTACCTATTGCAATCCAGACCAAGAACAGTTCGGACAATCCCATCCAGCCTCAATCTCTGTCTCCTCCGATCGACATCCACCGAAATCAACACCGGCGTCCCGTCGGGATATTCCTTCACTGACTTGACGACACGCAGGCCCATGTCGGAAGCCCGACTCCTCGACGCCGCCGACGAGACCTTCCCTAACCCTAGCCGCTCCAGGGTCGTGCAGTACTCCAAATGCGACGTGCTTGCGTCCCTTTCGTACACAATTGCGCCTTCCCAGGGACTCCCCGACTCATCCTCGCCGTCAATTTCGATTTCCCAGTCGAAATCGCCGTCGCCGCCGTCGGGGAGACTTCGGAGCTTCAAAATGGATCGATTTCGCAAGATTGCAGTTTTGAGGCTGTCCAATTTGAATCCTCTGTAAGATTCTTTCACTTTTTTACAGGAGCTGAATTGAGCTTGACGAGGAGGGATTGAGATTGGGATTGTCGCAAGCGGCGGGATTGAACGGAGGAGCATTTCGAAGGGTTTATGGCCGCCGGATTTGGGCAGAGATTTATCCAATATTAATTCTTTTTTTTTAAAAAAATAATAATAATAATAAATAAAAGATTAATTCGGACAAAAACAAGAGCCACTTATGAAAAACGTTTTATTCTCTGAAAAGCCCCAAAATCTTATCATCTTTATAACCATCGGTCTCCTTTTCTTACTTACATCGGGAAAGTTTTGACTTGTCGGCGGAATGGAGGCGACGAGGGCTATGTTCCTTCTGCTGATATTTGCTGTTCTTGTCTCGTCATCGCAGTCGGGATCTATTATTCCACGACCTCGTCCTCTGTCTTCCCTGAGGAAAATCAACACTACTACTACTAGTACCCAGGTGGGTATGGAGGAACCAGTTCTTGAGTTAATTTGTCTTAAAATCAACTAGTCTTCTTGTTTGGGTGCAATTAATTGTGAACTGAAATTGGATTAGGGTTTGTTGCAGAATGCAGGCACTTGTTCTTATACAGTGGTGATTAGGACCAGCTGCTCTTCGATTTCCTACACTCGTGACCGGATCAGCCTTGCCTTCGGAGATGCCTATGGAAACCAGGTTTCTAGAAGCTTCTATGTTTTTGGTTTAGTACTTCTGAACTTCTCTTTTGATTGCCAATGGTGTTTGATTTGTTGGAAGATTCTTCTATGGCTTTGGGGATAATTTTCTTTTTGCCCAATTTTTTGACTGCATTAGGGTTTTGTCTGCTCAGGACATTCTGTATTGTTATCTTTGTGAAAGCTGTCTTACACTTGAATGAGAGCTTACGTTGTGACATGAATTTGGGGTAAAACTGTCGATGGAGATTATATATAGTTATGTTTTTGTTAGCCAGGTTGCTTAAAACAGAGCACTTTTGTTTGGATATTAGGATTTTTCGCCTTCCAAATTTGACACATTGTTTGGGAATGGTTGGGAAGTTGTTAGTCCGTGTTCTATTATCGAATTTTTGAGGTTTGGAATCATCTGTTTAGATCATATGTTTTAGACAAGCCATTTTTGTAGATCATTCGACGCTCGTTCAGTCTACATTATTTGTTAGGACATGCTAGAATGGTTGTTCTTCGGGTTATTGTACATATGACTAAATCAAATGGACTATAACTAGTGATATATGCACGTGCGTTTAGATATGTTTTGGAAGTGTTTATAATTTTTGAATTGGTTTCGAAATAATAGAAAGTTAAATAGAAATAGTTGTTGGATGCGGCATAAATGAATATTGGATGTGACGTTTTGCGAGTGTGTTTCTTTTGATTTGGTTTAGAAAATTTTTGTTTGAATTTGATATTAAAATAATGTATCATGAGATATTTTGCGATAAGTAAAAGTGTATTTTTTCGAAAAATGTAAAGTCCAAATAGAAGAAAATTGGGGTAAAAAAAAAAAAAAAAACTTGTCTTGTTGGACTTAGTTTGTAGGATATTAGATTCGGCCGGGGTTTACCCGGTGCGCAATTTTGGGTAGCGGCTACCGTTCCCACGCTATAAAAAAAAATAAAAATTACTTATCGTGTGTTCTTACACATTTCCGAGAAAACATATATTCCAAAATGAATTAATATATTACACACTCATTATTTTTATATTAATTACGCAATTCTTTATATCTCATAAAAATAATTTTACTAAACAAACACACCTTTATAATCAACTTGTGCAAGCTTCTTATACTTTAAAAGTATTGCACATAAATCCTGGGAAGGGAAGAATTGCTTTTAATTTCAATTGCACATGTTCTGTTTGGTTGTGTTTCTTTTCCTAAAATCAAGAAATGATTTAGCCTTATTTTAGTATTCGATTTTAGTTCAATTCGGTTGTATATTAATTTGGGTGTATTTGATTTAATTGCTTCCGCTATTAATTGATTTGTATTTTATATATGAGGTATTGTTCGATAATTCAAAAGGATCCGGAAATAATCACAACAGGAATTTTGTATAAAATTTATGAAAACACAAAAAAGTTTCACCAAATTTTTAGGAGATTTTATTCAATATATTTTAAAACACGAGTAAGTCTCATGTAGTTTCTCCGATGACTGATACAAAATACTAAAATCAAACTACAAAGAACAGAGTTTTTGTTTTTAATCGATATTAGCGAAGTTGGGTAAGTCACGAGGCTATTGCAACTGTTGTCCGTTGTTTTAATTAAGGTTGTTCGTCCTTTAATTTGTAGGTTTATGTGCCGAGGCTGGATGATCCGCGATCGAGGACATTCGAGCGCTGCTCCACAGATACATTCGATATATACGGACCGTGTACCTATCAGATATGCTATGTGTATCTCTACCGGCAGGGTTATGACGGATGGATTCCTTACGACGTAACCATCTACGGATACAACACGAACCCCGTTTCCTTCTATTACAATGTAAGGATGCCTAGAGATATCTGGTACGGATTCGACCACTGCTATTATGGCGCCCGATCTGGTTCGGCCGCCGTGAAGTAAGCCCTCTTATGTTCAGCTTCTAGAATAATGAGACGCATTTATTAGCTGCTAGAATAATGAGGGATCGATGATCTAGATCGATTGTACTAGGTTTGTGTTGAAGATGATGTTGCTTGTGTATGTAGTTTTATTACGACCTTCTTGTTGAAGATGATGTTGCCTGTGTATGTAGTTTTATTACGACGTTGTTGTCTCTTGATATCGAAATAATGGCAACAATACACGAATGAATGTCGTAATAGGTTTAGACAGAGGTTTTTGGAAGTTTAGAATTACGAAGATAATTTAAAATTGGATATTTAATGTAAGGTTATTGTTACAGCATATAAAACAGGACATGAAGTATAAATCGGACAATACAAAATATATGTTAATATAATACAAATATATATATATATGACAATAGTTCGCATATCATATTATTATAAAATGTGTTGCTAAACTATGAGTTTGCTTATCCATCAAAATTTCTGTATCGCAATTTCCAATATATATATATATATATGTAATATATAATTTATTTATTTTCAAAAAATCAATACTTAATACAAAATATTATTTTGTATATTTCTGACAAATTACTGATACCTGGTACACTTAACAAACAAACCCTATATTTGAAGTGGCGGGCATGGTAACCTCTTCCTTATTGTAATATTCTTCGGAAAAAAAACAAAATATATATTTGATATAAGTCTTTTTATTTTATTTTTTAAAGTTGCTTTAATGAATAATGTAAAATTTTTCAAATGTGTATATGGAATGTCACCTTAATATCCTAAATGAGATGTGGATTAAAATTCAAACACTTCATATTTGGATTTGAGATTAGTGTTTGCAAATAGTAAAAATTTAAATAAAAATAAATTCCAATACCATATGAAGAGTGCTTATATTCCCATCAATCTTTTTTAAAATTGTTGAAACCATTTTATTTAAAATTTCAAATGGGCCAAAATCAAATGGATCGAGCCCAGCCCGATTTTTCTAAATAATATGAAGTAATGGGAAAATAATTCCATACATAACTTATTTACAATAATCTTCTTTGTTACATTTGTCATTTTCTTTTCAATTTTTATTATAACAAAATTTATTATTTTTAATAAGAATTATATTTATTAAAATTTATTACATTTTTCAAGAATTACTTTCAACAAAAATTTTTAAAAAATTAAATACTATTAGATTTTTCTTGAAATTTTAAAAATTTAATATAAATTATCTATTAATATATTTAAAATTTATTAATCAATTCTCACGCTTCATTTATCACACTTTAAATTTCTTTTTTTTTTTTTTACTTTTTTCATTTCAATTCAATGAAATTGCTAATGAAAATAATAATAATTTGAATCAGTTCTTAAATCAAACCATTGGAAATAGAAATTATTTATATATTGTTTATATATATATATTATTATATAACAAAATATAGAAATGAATAAATTATTATGGATTGGTAAATGTAATGAATTTAAGGTGATTTACTATAACGGTGATAAATGAAATGATTTGAATATTGAAATGAATACTATAAGGATGAAAGAGATATAGAAAATAATTATTATAACAGATGCTCTAATTTATCTATTTCTTTATTTGAGAATCTTAAGTATTTGTTTTGTATTTTAATATTTTTTATATGAAAAATACGGGGAATTATATAAGTAATATAAAAATAAAGAGTTTGTGTAATATATTAATTTTTTAAAAAATATATTTACAAATTTATTAAAAGAATAAAGTCTATGTATCTTTGAGTGTAGATTTTAAGATTGAACATAATATTTTGCAAATGAAACTATTTGGAAAAGTCACTCTAAGCTTGGTCACCCCTTGCGGGCTTAGATGTATTTTCTCCGTCCGAATGAATTTACTTAATTTTTTCATTTTGATTGGATACGAATCAACTTTTTTTTTTCTTAGTATTTGTATTTTTATATAACTTTTAAAAAATTATAATTTATATATTTATTACAAAAATGTTATTGTTGTTATTAAACTAATTTATTCTTTTAATTAGTAAATTTGACTATTACACTATAACAAAAAATTATTTTTGTAACAAAATTTTTTGTTCTCTAAATTTATTTTTTCTGTTACTAATGACATTAGAGACTAAATTAAGAATGGAATTACGTTAGCTACGTGAACTTTATAGACGAAATTGTGTTACAAATATATTATTTTTTTGTAGTGTTAATATACTTTCTCAAATCCCATTCATTCACTACAAAAAAATAATATATTTGTAACGGAATTCCGTCCCTAAAGTTCACGTAGCCAACGTAATTCCATTTTTAATTCCGTGTCTAATGTCATTAGTAACGGAAAAAGTTGATTTAGCGACAAAAAATTTTGTTACAAAAATAATTTTTTCTTATAGTGATTAACCCTCTACGAAGAAATAAAAATAAAAATAATTGTATTTATTTTAAAGTTTTGTATGATTCAATATACTATTTCTTAATAAATAATTTTTATACAATTTTGGGTTTGTTTGATTTTGGTTTTAATTTGAGTTTTCACTCAAATATTATTTTGATGTAATAGTTTATAAACAAAATATAAAAATAGTAAAAAAAAAAAAAAAAAAAAGCAATATATATGTATATATAATTAATTATACAAACACAAGTTATTTTATCAGTTCAAAACTGATATTGGTTGTAAGTATACATTCTTTCTGATATCATATTAAGTGATCATCTCATATAAAAAGTTAAATTTGAAGGGACATGTTTATTTATATACATTTATTATGGAAGTTAACCAACAATTTGATAGTTTTCCTTTTTTTTTTTTTTTTTTTTTGTAAAAACATAGGTCACGGCTCATTTTAATAAATGTAAAAGTAAATAGTTGATTATTTATTTATTTTATTCAAATAAAACTATTTAAGATATTTTATCCGTCTTATTTGTATAACATTTACATAATTAAATACGTATTCACAATCAGCTTTGGATGAAGAGAATACTTTGTGCAGATTTTAATCTAATAAAAAAAATCACACAATAAACGATACATTAGGTCTTTTGTGTATTTATAAGAAAATATAGTTTATTATACAATTTATTTTGAAAACATTTGTAAAAATATTAAGAAACATCAATTCAACAATTCTCATAACACAATATTAGACTCATTAAAAATTTCCAAAACTTATAATTAATTATATATACATATATATATAGTAACAAAACTAGCATCTAAATCATGGGAGGGCCAAAATGTTACTATAATTTATATAATATTTAGCTAATAAATTTAAATAAATAATAATGATATAATTATATATGAATTTAGATAGTTTTGGAGGAGAGACAAATTGTATATAAATACATAAAAATTAATATTTTTAATTTGACTTGGGATTCAGCCCTAGTGTAGTTCCGTCACTGTATATATATCGCTGTTTAAAAAACAAAAAAAATTCACACTGCAGCAATAAGGAAAGCAAATTCTCTCTAATTTTAAATTTACCAAATATATATATATATATATAAAATAAAGAGTAATAAAAGTAACATAACCAAAATCCAATAGTCAAAGTATAAAAATTATAAATATTTTCCTATTTAAACAGAGATTAAACCATAGTATTAATTTAATGAACAATATCTACGTTTATTATAGAAAATAGAAATACCAAATTATCATAATGCATGCAATAAAGTTTACTAATGAGCCAAATCTTTACTAATTGACATTTTGACCAAAGCCTGATTTATATTTCATGTATCTACCATTAATTTTTACCATATATATTTTTGTTTGATTTGATTGTTATTTGAAATTGATTTAAAATGGAATATTGATTTAAGTTTGTTTTTCAATAATATTTTAATATAATATTTCATGAGAGAAAATAATACTCCCTCTATCCCATAATTAGGTGTCTATTTGTTTTTTATATGAAGTTTTAGAAATATTAGTATTATATTGGGATATAGTAGAAATAAAGTTGAAATGACTAAAATAATCTTATTAGTATGGTGTGATATAAAGATAATGACATTTATGTAATATATTGTAATAAAGTTGAAATGGCTCGGTCGTGTCTCGAGTTTACGTGAATCTATTGTCATCCTATAAAATTATTGATATTTTTTTTAATTTATATTAATAATGAATTAGAGGTTTAATTTGTCAAATAAATAAAATTTATAAGAGGACAATTATATCATTTAGAATATAAAAAATCCAAATCCACGAAATATAAATCTCACCATATTTTACCAACCAAACATAATATGAGATTCCAAATCCTAAATATAATAAATCCCATCGCATATAAATACTAATGTAAAATCTCAATCTCACCAAAAAAGTCCATGAACCAAACAGCCCCTAAGGGTATTTGTAACGTTAGATAGATAGTACAGTTACTATAAAAAAAATAATAAAAAAATAAAGAAATGAATATTTTGTTACGTAACGGATTAAAATACTTAATAATTTCATATAATATTTTGTAAGAAAAATATTTAAATAATAATAATTATATACTCCCCCTTTTCTATCTCAATTATTTTATTAAAATTTTTAATGGGGACAGCACCTATAATCTTTTAATTATTTTTTTATTTTAAATAAAATAATAATTATATAATTTTATTTTTTTTTATATTCTATAAACTATTTTGTATTAATTGTGTAAAAAATATATATATTTTTTTGTTTTATATATTTATTTTCTCTAATAAATGCTATTCATATTAAATATATTTTTTATTAAATAAATAGTTTTTTACATATTCTAATATATTTTAAATTTATTTTTAATCACTGCAAATAGTAATATATTATAATCCAATATATAACTAATTAAGATTTTATTATTCAATATAAACTAACTTTCAAATATGCTAATTTACATTGTAAATTAGTTTTTCATGTAACGTTAGATGAAAATACACTTATCAAAATAGTTTCTATAATTTCTTTGAATTTGTTAGTTTTCTAGTTCAAATCTAAAGTATTTTTTCAATAATAATATACTCTCTTTGTCCGTATTCAATATTCATCGACAGTTTTTTGATCGAACTTGTCACATAATACTTGTTTAGGGTGAATTTTCCGACCAAGGTAATTTACAAACTATTGCATTTCATCCATTATTTACCCAATACTACATGTAAGTTTCCATATATTATCGAATGGTGGCGGTCGGGTTACTGATTTTGACCAAATTATTAAACCAACTTAGTGATTAGACAATCATTACAAGTCATATAATATATTATTTAGTTAGTACATTAACGTGAAATAATTAGTAAATTATTATTAGACAAATAGCATATGTAGTGTTATATAGAAATGTATGTTGTGTGGATTATATTTCGTGCTAAAATCAGTATATATTGTGTTAAATGCAATTACATAATGTGTTATGCTATATATTTTATTAGCATTCGCTACGTGAAATAATTAACAATTTATTACCAGACAAATAACATATGTTGTGTCATATAGAAATATGTGTTTTGTGGCGTGTTGAAATCATTATATTGTGCTAAATGCAATTATATAATGCGTTATGCTATATATTTTATTAGGATTTGTTATATGAGTTATATATTATATTGTATTATATAATTTGTTTATTATACTATAATGCTAAAATAAAAAACTTATTGTACTAAAATAATAATTATATTTTACTATATATAATTATATAATTTGCTATTAAAATATTTTCTATATATTACATTAATATGTTCTATTTTTTTATAAATATTTTTCTATCCAGCCAGAAAGCATACAGTTATTTTTGTTGTCATCACTAAAAAAAATATATTTGTAACAGAATTACGTCCCTAAAGTTCACGTAGCTAACGTAATGGAAAGTAGATTTAGAGACAAAACAGTTTTGTTACAAAAATGATTTTTTATTGTAGTGCATTATACTTAACATTAAAATATCATTATAATTTTATTATTTACTTTCCACAATTATCATTGTATTTGTATTATAAAAGAGATATATTTATTGTTTTCTCTCAGTCTAGAACTATAATTTTATATGTGCTAAACATGATATTTAAATAATATTGATATTTTATTGACATTTATTTAGTAATAATAATACTAAAGTATGAGTAATTTTATAATCATATAGGATATGTTTCTTGAGGGGAGTTTGGAGAAAATTGGGTTTGGATTTGATTTTTATTTGAATTTTGGGATGAGTTTGGATTTTATTGTTTCTTTTGTGTTTGGGTTTGGTCGGGGTTTGGGGAGTTTTGATGTGTATTGATTTGATGGATAATGAATAAAATAATATAAATGTATATTAAATTTAATTGATAAAATTTATATTGTATAATTTGATTATAAATTTATATTATACTCAATATATATATATATTTAAATTTTTATTTATTTGTATTATAAAAAATTTATTTTTTACAAAATGACATATATTGTATATATATATTTTTCATTTAATTATAATAAATATTAAATAAAATTGTAATTTCAAAAAAATAAAAAATAAAAATAGGGGGTTTCGCGTCCATTTTACTGTGCACACAGTAATTTCACAGTAAAATGGGGCCAAACCCCCTTGGAGAAACATACTCATAATTATTTATGAAAATGAAATTATTGTATTCGAACCGAAAAATTAATAATTAATATTAAAAAATTAATACGAAAAAACAACGGTATACTTTTAGCCGGACGGAGGTAATATTTCCTAATTGAATCAAAATATATTGTGCTAAAATTAAATTTATATTTTTACTAAATATAATTATATAATTTGCTACTAAAATATCATTATATATTATATTATCATATATATATATATATTTGATAATATAATTAATATAAAATAATGATTTTCCTTTTATCTTATATAGGGAGAGGGAAACAAAAATATACTATAAATAAATACAAACATGAATTCTTAATAAAAACTAAATCATATATATTAATATTCAGAATCATCAGTTGATCTTTGCACACTTCTGTAAAGATCCTTATTTCCTTTTCCAAATTATTATTTCCCTTTTCATATGCTTCACTTTCTATTCCCATGGACGACCCCCCCCCCACCCCACCCCACCCCCATATATATATATATATATATATATATATATATATGCTGAACATATCCTCTTCATCAGCAGTCATCGACTCTTACACAGCAAAAACCAGAAGAAGCTGACAGGAAATTTTCTTACATCTGCATTATGGTATACCACATTCCTTAATACATCTTCGTTTCTAATACAATGCAGCCAAAAAATTAACTTAGTTCGCTACATACATATAGATATATATACATATATCTATATATATTGGTTATAAAACCCTTTCTCAAGTATAATTTTCTGTTTTTATGTTTTCATTACTGCAGGAGTATTTTGCCCTAATTTTAGTGGCTGTCTTAGCACTACTTACCTCCGGCGTCGCCGCCTATCGGCCTTTCGCCATTGCGGATCGGAGGCGAGGTCGCTACGATGTCTCGGCATTCGGCGCCGTCGGAAATGGACGAACTGATGATGCCAAAGTAAGTATGAATTTAATTTGATGCAAAAATTTTGTTGCACATCCTTACAACCTTATAAACTACAAATATATATATATATATATATTGTTTACTTAAATTGTAATAAATTTTTACAGGCCTTTGGTGCTGCTTGGAAGGCAGCTTGTGAAGCAAAAACGAGTACTGTGAAAATTATTGTCCCTGCTAGGAAATCTTTCTTACTATCTCCAATTGAATTCTTTGGCCCTTGCAAACCCTCTAAAATAAATTTCTTGGTGAGCAATAAATTTATAATTTTGGTGATATTATTTTTGAGAAAATTATGTCAATGCAATCTATTGTAGTTTCATAAAATTGATTTTCTTCTAAAAGAGTGCATATAATCTTTCCATAGATATCGGGCACGATTTTGGCGCCGCAAAAGAGCGCGTACGGCAACTCCTACGATACATGGCTACACTTCTCTGGGATCGATGGGCTTGTAGTTGATGGAAATAGCCGAGGAACTATCGATGGTCGCGGAAAATCTTGGTGGAGAAAGGTTCAAAGATTTATTATTCTATATATATATGTATTATTTCGATGATTTATTTATAGAAATATATTCTAAGGTTTATGTGTGTTGATAGACTATAGATTTGTTATGCTGAAATTTTTAGGTGAGATGATCATTTAATATTTTTTTGTTTTAATTATAATAGGATTCGAAGGATGTTCAGCGACCTACGGTAATGAGTAGTAAAATTGTTATTACATATTAGTTTTCGATTCTTTATGTACTAATCGCCCCTTGTCCTAATTAAAAAAATCGACATTATATTTATTTTGAAGGCGTTGCGATTTGATCATTGCAATAATCTTATTGTCAAGAGATTGATCCACAAGAATAGCCAAAGGAACCATGTTTCAATAGATGGTTGTAATAATGTCGAGATAGCAAATCTAAGCATCCAAGCCCCGGGGAATAGTCCCAACACCGATGGAATCGATATTAGTAGCTCCACATATCTTAACATCCATGATAGCGACATGAGCACCGGTAATGAAAACCTAGTACATTGTTCTATCTTCATGTAATGAACTCATAAAATACATTCTAACAACCTATACGTATATTGTATGTATAATAGGTGACGATTGCATCGCCATCAACGGAGGAACCTCGAATGTCAACATAACTAAGATAAATTGCGGCCCGGGACATGGAATTAGGTTACATTAATTTTGTTTGTTCGTCGTAATTAATTTTTCCTTAGCATTATTTTTCAGACAACTGATTCAAGCATCAATCTTTTATCATTAGCATTGGAAGCTTAGGCAAGAATGGGAGGCACGACGAAGTATCCGGTATTAGGGTTACGGGCTGCACCTTTACAAAAACTCAGAATGGAGTGAGAATCAAGACATGGCAGGTAAGAAATTTTGGCTACCTACGAATTATGTGCTGATTTATTAAGTTAATCAGTATGTGCTGATTAAATCTTGACCGTTGAAAATTAATATAACGATTAATCTAACTGTTGAAGTTTGTTTTATGATGTCTTAGGTTTGTTATTCTCGTCTGAGAAAAAAATAAATTATGAAACATATACTTCTTCTATTTAATTATTAACTAAATTTATAAAATTATTCCTAAATATTTTTATTTTATCTCATTTTCAATAAATCATATGGGTGTATTTGTTTGTGGGTTTGGATTTTTGAATAGTTAGGTTGAATTTGAATAGTTGTTTAACGTGATATATACAGAGGTTGATGTGATATTTTGAATGTGAAATAAATTTGTAGTATAATATAAAAGAGAAAATTAATTGCTCGATTTAATATTTTTGAAGGAAAAAAAAAATATGAATAGTAAAAACGTGTGGTAAAATACACAAAAGAACACAACCATATTTTTCTTAATTTTCGTGTCGGATTCTGAGCTATTTTTATTGTACTTTTGATGTATAATTTATTCATAGTGAAATTTCTGTTTGGCAAAATCCAAACATAAAAAAATTTACATCGAACTGAGTATTCAATTTTTTAAAAATTTGATATTATTAATTTTCTTTCATTCTTGTAACATTTCGCGACAAACCCTAAAATTTTCACACAGGGAGGCTCCGGATACGCAAAGGACATTACTTTTGCGGACTCAGTATTCAAGCTAGCCGGTAATCCGGTCATAATCGACCAGTATTATTGTCCCAATAGCAATCGATGTCCTGAGAAGGTAGTATTCAATTTGATGCATGTCGTAACCTCACAAAATTAATTTCTATCTTACATAATTTATTTATATCTTCAATCTTGAAACCCTAATTGTGGTGTTTTCAGGCATCTGCTGTGAAGATCAGCGGTGTGAAGTACTTAGGGCTTCGGGGGACATCGGTGGCGAAGGATGGCGCGATCCAGCTGATGTGCAGCCGGACAGTTTCATGCGACGACATTGTTGTGGACAATGTGGACATAAAACCAGCAAGTTGGGGAATCCCTAATACAGCCAAATGTACCAATGTATATGGAGAACAAAGATTGGCATACCCTAGTGTGACTTGCTTGCGAAAAATAAATGACTAAATTTAGTGTGTTGGATCTTTTTTTTTTATTTTTTTTGGGTATTTTTGTTTTAGGAATGATTTTTTTTTTTTTATAGGAATGGTTGTAGACATGAATGGTGGTCTGTCTGGTTGATGTATTTTTCGCCGTGAGGGTTAGGGTTTTTTTCTCTCTCTCTAGATGTGTATAATTGAATAAAATTTAACTTGTGATTATATATAGTCGATGGCTTTATATGTATATATATAATTTTAATTTATGTAGTTTGGATATATGGAACAAAAGATATGGTTAGAATTAGTTGGGGTTTAACAGATATTTTCTAATCTAATTACAAGGAATACTAATGAGTTGGTTCATTTAATTAAGGGTTGCTATTATTATTATTATTAAATAAAAAATTACATCTAAATATTTTATTTTTCATAAACAAATTCTTGTTTTAGTTAAAATGAATTATCTTTAGTGGGATAAATTAGTATATAAAAAATATGGCGGCGACTACTGTGTTGAACTTTAAAATTCAGGATTATTCTGACAGCACACTGCAGCACACAGTATTACTACCAGCAGAGCACTGTATGTATTCATATAATACAAATACAATACATAAATTACCAACGCATGCTATAGTCTTATAGAACATAAACAATATTTGGTTTCAGCACACCACATACTGTTATACAACACACTTGTAATTATGAACCAACAACACAAATATAACACATAAAGTAATAACACACGCTATAGTCCTACACAATATAAATAATAGTTCATTTCAGCACAACGTATACTTTTATACAACACATTTATAACACTTATAATTATTAACCAACAACACATGTCTTTATTATATACCACACAATAAAACAACTGTGTGTTATTTGTATATATTACGGGTGCTAATTTGAAAAATCGGCACAGTGCTGATTTCTTCAATTTAACACCCTAACCGTTCTAAAAATATATATATAATATTATGAAATTAAGGGTAAGAATATATATATAATAAAATGTTAATCAAAAAATTATATAGAAGACTAAAAAAAGAACATGTAGTTCAAAATAAATCATATGTTTATAAGTAGAGATGATAATAATTCTAATCGAAGTCGTTTATAAATACAATAACCAATAAATCTCTAAATAAATAAATAACACCTTATTACACCTTATTACCTTATCTGGTCACCATTGCACCCTTTTTGGTGTGTGTTTGGCATTTTTCTGCACCACTATAAAAAAAAATATATTTCACATTTTTCGATCTTTTATTCTCTTTTAGAAGCGGATCAATATTTAGTAAAATAGTGATAGATTCACTATCGCTAATATTCAAACAATTTAAACTCAAATCATTTAAAATAATTAATTTATATTTTCTAAATATAAATATACAAAAATAATATTATATTATTTTTTTTTTTAATAAAGTGAGTTTGTTAGAAAATAAATTATAATTCGTTGAAAAATAGCATTGGTATTTATAATAATAATAATAATAATAATAATAATAGGGCTTGGCACCATATAACAAACTGTATAAACTTAAATCATAACATCAAATAATGTAATGGATAAAATAAAATTTAAAACAATTGTTTTTGGTTTTGGTCCGCATACACCTTTTTACACTATTACACACTATTTTTTTATTTTCTTCCGTCAAAACCAATCTCATTTTATTCCTTTCATTCCCCAAAATTTGCGCCATTAGATCAGTCACCCTAATTTTTACTTCAGATTATTTTTTTTATCCGCTGAAAAATGAAAAAGTTGATTGTTTTGTAGTTCCGTTTTTGAATTTTTTTATTTAAAATATAAATATTTGTGTCATTAATATAAAAATATATATTGAATATTATTTTTTAAAAAAATATGAAAAATAAATATATTAAGAATTGTCGAAAAAATATGGAAAAACAAACTCTAAGAATTATTCTAATTTTTTTTTTAGATTATTAAAAAAAGTCGGATTACACAAAAAATATATTTTTAAAAAATTATATATCATTATTCTCAAATATTTATATCTTTAATTCACAACATCATATCAATTTATACATTTCATTTTAATTAATTACCCATCAATCAACATATCATTGTTACAAAAACCAACTAACAACCCAACACCAATTCAAATATTTCAATTCAAAATAATAATAATAATAATAATAATAATAATAATAATAAAATATTTCAACTCAAAAATTAGTATGGTGTTGTTTTGACCTGATCAACATATCCATATGATGTTTTATAAAGTAACATACAGTGAGTTATAACATAATATATATTGTATTATAAATATGTTGAGATATATACAAATATATACTAGTCACTTATATAACATATATTGATCCGATTAAATCAACATTATGCTGATTTCACTGAATCAGCCGTTGATCATACCTTTACTTGAATAAACCCAATGATTCGCACAAAGATCCATATAGAAAAATGGAAACTATGAATAAATCTTAAAATTCAACTTTTAATCATTGTGATCTCTAAATTTAAAAAGAATTAGCATACAACTAAAATTGATTAAAACACAAACATACAAATGAATTAAATTGGTCCGAAATTGTAAGACTAAAATTGTAATAAAATTTAATTAATCCATTTTACCCTGATACATGCTTTCATACTTATCCAAAAAAATGGAACTGGATAAATGATTGGTTTTTCACTTTCATATTTGGCTTCGATTTGATTTAATAAATATATTATCCTAAATATTATTTTGAGGATTTTTATATATACAGAATTATATCTTTTGTGATATACATAATAATATAATATTATCGCAAGATTCCTATTAAATTAGGTACAATTTTTTTCCCTAATATGCCAATGAATCAATTTATTGATAATCCAAAAAAAAAAAAAAAAAAAAAAGATTTGGCACTAGACAAAATTGAAATATATTTTTTCTTTTATAGCATTGTCATCATAATTTTGTCACATAAAATTTAAATATTTGAAATTAATGTTAGTCCTATTTATTCACATAATATCGTATAGTGTCTCAAATCATATAATTAATATAATTAAAATAGAAAATATTTCAAACCACAAATAGAAAATCAAATCACAATTATAATCGTATCTAAACACATTTAATTATAATAATCCTACAAATATTGCAAATTTTCCTCTATTAAAATTTGAAATACAGATTTAAATGCCTTTGACTTGATTTCAAAACAATCAAAATTAAAAAAAAAAAAATTACCCAATTATTGCAACTTATTAAAATCAAATAACAAAAATTTATTACAATTTTCCAAATAATAATAAGAATAATCACATTCAAATTTTGTAATATAAATAAGTGCATCTGCAACCCCAATTCTTCACAAATATTTTCTTCGACTATACCATAATTTTTAGTAAAATCTTATGGTATGTAAAAATCTCATCACTATCTTTTTTTATTTTTTTTAATTAATTATTTATTTTTTTTCAAAAAAAATCTGATAATAATTTGTAAAGAAGCAATAATGGATGCTTTCTTCTCGTCCGTACAGGAGTGTGCGTCGCACGTGACTATGTTCTTCGTAGCCCTAATATTAATATCCGCGACGGCGGTCGCTGCCCGGTGGCCGGGTTCGGTAGAGTATCCGTCGTCGGGACAAAATTCATTTGATATCACAAAATTTGGAGCTGTCGGAGATGGTCGAAAAGATAATGCCAAAGTAATTGATTCTTGAAAAACTTTATTTATTTATTTATATATTAAAGTATATAAATATTTTTTTCGTAACAATATTTGTATAGGAATTTAAATCGGCGTGGACAGCAGCATGCGGAGCTGGGTCGAAGAATGCGACGATCGTTGTACCGAGCGGGACATTTTTGGTGTCTTCCATCGAGTTCGAAGGACCTTGTAAATCTAGCAGGGTCATGTTTATGGTGACATTTTTTACGTGTGATATTAAATTATCGAATTATCGATATATATATATATATAAATAGTTGTAAAATTTTTAATTTTTTTTGTTTGTGAAAATTTTTAAATAGATTTCTGGAAAGATTGTGGCGCCTCCAAAAGAAGCATGGAAAGAAAAATCTAGAGATGTGTGGTTGAGATTTCATGAAATTAATGGACTTGTGGTTTCCGGAAATGGAAAGGGGACAATCGATGGTCAGGGCGAGACATGGTGGAAAAAGGTATAAATAATTATAAATATTTATATAAATTGTTATTATTACTCAAGGTTAATGTCCATTTTATTTATTTTTATTTTTTTCTATTTTAATTATAATGATTATTTTGCTACATGTTTTTTTCTTTTTTATTTACCTATCTACTTACTCTAATAAACAACTTATTTTTTTTTAATACCTTTTTTGCTATAATCAAAGTTAAAATTACGTCGATTTTTAAGTTAAATTTATATCTAATTTATTTACGATAAAGAACTTTATTTATCTATAATTTTATTATTTTTATTTTAATAGATAATAATTATTTTCATTAATTTTTATTAATTTCTTAATGAATATTCAATAGTACTTTCATTTTTTTTTAATTTTATTTTATATTAAAATATTATTATCTTTTAATATTAATATTTATAGAAAACTACGTAATTTTAGTGAACGAAAAAAATATTTAATACTCTATAAAGAACTTCTATAATATATTTGATTTGTATTTGTAATTTTATATTATATTTTGTATATAATTTAATACGATATTTTATTTAAAAAAAATAATATATTTTTATTTAAAACGAGTAACTATTGCATAGTATCGAAAAATAAATAATTTTTAAAGAGAATATAGTATACAATTTTCTCTAACATGCCTTCTAACAAATAATATGTTCTATATTTTCCAGGCGTCGGACGACAATTCACGGCCTACTGTAAGAAGCTATTCAAAGTTTCGATCTTTTGTTCATCATATTAAAATCGAAATCCATATTGACAACGTTGTCTCGATTTTTCTTAGGCATTACAATTTTCACATTGCAACAATCTTCAATTACGCGGCCTAAACCATGCAAACAGCCAAAAGAACCATATATCGATAAATGGCTGCCGGGGCGCAGACATTTCGGGTTTGAGCATAACTGCACCGGAGGACAGCCCCAACACCGACGGGATTGACATCAGCAGCTCGACCAACATTTACGTGCGTAGCAGCGTCATTGCAACTGGTAACTATGTCCTAATTTGAATACATAATACGACCCTTTTGGTCGAATATATGTTTTTTAATCTCCCGCCAATTTAATTTGTTGTCCGATGGACATGAAAGGCGACGACTGCATAGCCATAAATAGCGGCAGCTCGGCTATCAACATCACCGGCATAAAATGCGGCCCTGGCCATGGAATTAGGTCGAACATTCTTCTCCATAAAAAAAAAAAAAACAAAAAAAACAAGCACTTATATTTTGTTTGTTGTAAAAATTATCTAAAAATTATATTTATCACTATTCATTTGTAGTACTATTTAACAAAATATTAATTATTTTTTTTTAGAAATAAAAACATGCCATATCACATTAAATACTTATTATTATTTTTTTATTTTTTACAGCATAGGTAGCTTAGGGAAAAACGGACATACTGATCAAGTACAAGGAATTACAGTAGCTCATTGTAGTTTCCGTAGATCCGAAAACGGAGCTCGGATCAAGACATGGCAGGTGAATTTAGCAATTACAATTAGAATTAAATCGAGCTTTCGAATCCCTTACTCGATCGGTTCTTTTTTGCGACAGGGTGGCTCCGGTTTCGCCAAAAACATTGTGTTCTCCGACATAGAATTCGATCGCGTAGAGAATCCGGTCTTAATCGACCAATTTTATTGTCCTCACAAAACATGCCCTGTCAAAGTACCATCAATTTCAAAACATATATTTCTATTAATTTTTTGTAATAAAATCTATCAATGTGCATTGATGATAATTTTTGTCTTACTCTAATTTCATCGACAGCCGTCGGCGGTTAAAATTAGCGACGTGAGATACACGGGGCTGCGTGGGACGACGAATAATAAAGAGGGCAATGCTATCAATTTTAATTGTAGCAAGACGGTGCCGTGCACGGGCATTGTGCTCGAAAACATCAAGATACAATTAGCATCGAATGGAGGCGGCCTAGCGAAGGCGAGCTGCAACAATGCTCAGGTATCGGGGTCGAACGGGTTGACATGCCGTGAGAAAGATTTCGTTATTTAAGTATACTATCGACGATGAGTGACTGGCCACAATTTTTCTTTATTTGTAGAGAAATATGAACTCATTGTGTTTTAAAACCCTTTTCAATCTATTTATATCTGTTAAATTTATTTTTACTTTCCCGATCCTTAGTTAAAATTATGTTATTACTGATTTGGCAAGTATAAGAAATTCAACGGATTATCCTTCATTCCTTGTATATTTTGAATAACAACATTATTAATATTACATACAATTTTTATTATTATGCATTAATTTTCATAAATATATGTTTATTTCATTTTAATGTCTTTTAAAGGTAAAAAGTACATACTATCTTAAAATTCATATCTGAAAGCTTGAATATATATATATATTTTTTTGGTACGAAAATAGTATTTTTCAATCTATTTACATCATTGCTACAGATGAATTTTATATAATTTTTACGCATTTTACTTTAATTCAAAATTTTCATTATTAATCCTATAAAAATTCCAATGCTTCGATTAAAAAAAGTATAAGAATAATATTAAATACTATTCTTTGAATCCATGTGTCAACAAATTTTGAGCTTAGAATTAATCTCCCGAATTAGCATATAATTTTAATCTTTGTGCCAAAAAATTTTCACTGGGGCCAAAAGGAGCCGTTGTGGAAAACTCTTCGTTGGTTATTGGAGATGTTATGGAGAAGACTGGTCATTGCCGGAAAGATTTATTCGTCGGAGAAAACATTGTACAGTTGGTTTGGAGTTTTCTTCTCGCAACTATCAAACAGTCGGAAGATTTGGTTTAGGTTTTGTATTTAATTAATATTTGATCATATGGTTTATGAAAAGAAATTTATATATATATTTTCGGAAAGACAGAGTTTAAATAATAAAATTAAAATAAAAAAAAAATTGGATAAAGAAACACACCCATGCTGTTTGTTTGGTTTCTCTTTATAATTTCATATTTAATTTCAGTGTTATTAGTTTTGAGTTTGGTCTCATATAGTTTGGATTAGTTCAATTGTTTTTACAGTCGTATTTTGTGTTTACGGAGTATTATTCAAAAATTCATATTCTTATTGAAAAATGATAAAGTTATATTTTCTAATTTTGGCATATGAAATATATTATAGGCTTGCAATGGCAACGTGAACTTAACATCAAAAGGGAGAGTTTGCAAAGATTAAGAAAGATTACTATGATGCCTTTTTTATTTGGTCAAATGATGAAATGTTTCGAGACAAATTCGATTTGTCTCATGTGAAATAAATTCAAGTAAATCCAAAGGTCTATACAATATTTAATGTTTCGATTATATTGAATGAAAGATGGTTAAAGATCTGCAGGGTATTAGGTTTGGCCGGGGTTTATCTAGTGCGCACTTTCGAACAATAGCTGAAGATTCTTAAGTTATAAAAAAAATAAAAAATAAAAATGGTTAAAGATCAACCTAGTCTACTTTAGAGTGCAGTAATAAAGAATGCTTAGTTTGAATTGAATTTTAATGAGAGGAACAATTTTTTTTTTTTCTCTCCACTTGTGTGTTTATCCTTTCATGTATTGAATAATACAATGGTGCTTCAATGTAGCACCAAACAAACATATTTAAGTTTTATTTTTGTTATAAAGATTAAACAGACACATTTTAGTTTTATTTTGTTATTTTGATTTGTTTTGTTTAATCTTTGTGAAAAAAATAATACTCTCTTTTCAGATAAAATATTTTTATTTACTCTTTGACTACTCTGATTACAAAATAATATTACTAGTTATTAGTATTTCTTAAAAGATATATAGATATTTAATTTGATTTAATAATATTAATATACATAAATAGAAATTTAAAATTATTTATAATATGTAATATGATAAAAACTTAAAAATAAAATACTATAAATTTTTTATTTTGACGGATAAAAATGATAAATATAAATAATATTGTTATATAAGTTTTTTTGCCCTCTATTTTTTTTTTATAAAAATTAATATTTAATATAAAATATTATAATTTTTATTATCTAACATTTATATCAAATTAATGATATACTAAAGGAAAAAAAAAAAATTCCAAAACAATTGGTTCAAAACTTCCTACTTAATTAAAAATTTGGACTATGGTTAACCTATGGGTTGGCCCAAATCTTATACTACCTTACTGTAAAATTAAATTATTTTATATATATATATATATTAATATTTAATATTTTACATTTCATTTTACCAGATACAATCAGAAGTAGTTCAGTTCCGGTCACAGATCCATCGGGATAGTCGCTCTCGTCGTCTTCTTCGTCTTACCGTCCGTTGTTTCTCGTGTTCTTCGTCGTACCTTTCACATTGACTCTCCGATTCCGAAATTCAGTTCCTACCATCATCTTCTTCTTCTCTGACGTCGCTGTATTTTTCTCTCCGGTGTTCGGCGTCGTCCTCCAAGACAGGGCAGCTTCACCCTCGTCGTCACTTCTTCTTCTACAGTTTCATTGGAGGCTTTGTATGTTCAATTCTTTAACACTAATTTTGATTTATTTGCTGTTATGAATGCCGGGTGCTAAAGTATTTAGGGTTTAAATTATTTGATGTTAGTTGTATTTAATTTCGTTGATTTTAAATTTATTTGAAATGGTGGAGTCTATAAGTTTGATTTTTGTTGGATTTTCTTGGCTTGGTTTGTGTTGCTTTTGTTGGGAATTGGCTTAGGTAGATTGATGGATTGGTTCTAAGCTCTAATCTTACACTGTTACACATTTTGGTGTGATTGAAGTTATCTTTGTGACTATATCTATCCAATTTTGAAACTTTTAATTTATGCGACTATTTCTATCTTTGTGCTGATCTTGGGAAAATTTCATTTACAGAGACAACTCCAATGAATGCTCCGCCAATTGGGAAGACATTACTCACCACCACCTTCATTTTCTTCTCTCTCTTCCTTGCCCTGATTCTGATCTCGCCCTCTTCTCCCTTCTCTCAGACGCCGATCGATGCTCCAGTGTAAGTGAGAGTCTCGCTTTGTGTGTGTTCTAGTGAATTTTGGATTATCTGATCCAGTTAGATTCAATAGAGAAAAGTTGTGGAGCAGGTCAAAAAGAGCTGAGATATGGAGTTTACGGAGGCTTTCCGAGTGGAGGCCTTGTAGTTGGTGGCTGCAAGGGCATCCTGCTGGTTAGGGTTTTCCTTTTTTTTTTTTTTCTTCTAAAGAAAAAAAAAATTGTTATTGTTTTTAATGGATGTTTGTTTTGCGTTTTTTGAACACAGTGAATTTTTGGTATGATTTACTCTTTACGCAAGTGGTTTTATTGAGGTGTTGTGATTGAGGGTTGATGGATTCGTACCCAATTTGGGAAAGGATTAAATATGAAAAATTAAGTCCTACATTTCCCCTCTCAAATCCTGTTGGGATCTAAAAAAATGAGTGCATTTCTTTGTCAAAATTTGGTGCTTATTTGTAGTAAATTGAATAGATTTGATTCCATTTGTGTGTATGTATCGATTCTGGCATGCTTTATTTTCCTGGAGACAACATTGACTGACTTCAAATGCAGACGTTTGCATTGGTTTTTTTGTGTTGAAATGCTGCAGCCCTACCAGCTAAGAGCACTGGGTATATTCGAATCGATTGCTATGGTGGGCTCAATCAGATGAGGAGGGATGTAAGTACTTTTGACTTTTTTTTCTTTCTTGTATCGTTTTTAGGTTGCTTGATTTCTCTGTATGAACTTTTTTTCTTTTGTGCTTGTCTGTAATTTTTTCTGACTGTGGTAATTGCAGTTTTGTGATGGTGTCGGCATGGCTCGCCTGCTGAATGCCACACTTGTTTTACCTAAATTTGAAGTTGCTGCCTATTGGAATGAGTCAACGTAAGCAATCTGAATTTGTTGACAAATGATGCATTTTCTCTGAACATGCAATTTTACTCAAAAAATAGCCACTATGCCTTTAAAGTAGAACTGATCTCTAATGATGAATCTTACTTACGCATTGCCTTTTTTTAATATCTTATATATATGATGAATGAATGCATACGATTAAGATCAAGTACTATAACGTGATGCCAGTACTTAAAACATAGAGCTACTATATGCTGGTATATGCCGAGTAATTGAACTTTGATGCTTGAAATTGATGAAATTAACTCCTAATGTAATGTAATATAAAGTGCGCTTTGTAGAAGAATTGACAGGTGTGAGCTGAGGATGGCACTTTGAAGATAGATTATAGGTTAGGGTCATCGAAGCTGAATTCAAATATTCCATCCCTTTTGGAGTTTAATCCAAAACTTAGGGATATATATATATATATATATATGATTAAGATCAAGTACTATAGTGTGATGTCAGTATTTAAAAGCTAGAACTACTATATGCTGGTATATGTTGAAGAATTGAACTTTGATGCTTGAATCTTGAAATTGATGAAATTGGCTAGTAGTTGTAATGTAAATATGGTTGCATAAGAAGTGAGTTTGTAAAGGATCGGTGAACTGAGGATGGCACTGTAAAGATAGATTGTAGTTTAGGGTCATCAAAGTTGAAGTTGGCTCCTGTGCTAGAGTATATACATTGCCTATTGGAGTTTAATCCGAACCTTACGTATAGATACATCTCTTCTACAAATATAATTATTCTTTTACTGCTAATAGCAAACTTATATACACAAATATTTCACCTTTTCCATTTTTTACCTATTGGTTTCATCATGTGATTTGGTTGTGCAGTGGATTTGGAGATGTGTTTGATGTCGAGTACTTCATCCAGAAAATGAACGGCTTCGTACATATCGTGAAGGAATTACCTGCAGAGCTTGCATCAAAAGAGCCCGTTAGAGTTGACTGTAGCAAGCGCAAAGGCTTATTCGATTATGTAGAAACGGTGCTTCCATCTCTTCTGAAGCATCAGTACATTTCAATCACGCCAGCAATGAGCCAAAGAAGGGATAGGTATATCTGTCTCCCAATCTTGAATGATATCTGGTACATGCACAATTTGTTGTCACCCTCCTCTCATTCTCGACATTAATTTTCTTGATATAGAAGTAGTTCCTGAAATTTATTTCTTGAGCTAACTAGACTTTTGCTGTTCTTACTCTGTTTGGGCCGAGGTTTGTTTTATTCACCTTGTGATTAGATTTGAGGCTATGGTGAATTTCTTCTTTCTCCTGAATCAAATCTTGCATCTGCCTATTTCTGATTTTCGATACATATATATATATATATATTTTATATACACTGCAGATATCCACTGTATGCAAAAGCTGCTCTATGTCAAGCTTGCTATAGCGCTCTACGCCTAACCAGTGAATTAGAAAAGAAAGGTGCCGAGCTTCTGCAAGCTATACCGAAGCCCTTTCTTGCACTTCACCTACGGTTTGAACCCGACATGGTAGCTTACAGCCAGTGCGAATATCCTGGCCTGTCTCCTACTTCCATCAGGGCAATAGAGGCTGCTCGTGGAGATAGGAAGCCATGGACCGGCGAACAAGCTCAATTATGGCGAATCCGAGGGAAATGTCCCCTCACACCAAATGAAACTGCAACCATACTTGAAGCTCTTTCCATACCCACCGACACAAACATATATTTAGCTGCTGGAGATGGTCTGATGGAGCTCGAAGGCCTGACTTCAGTGTACGCAAATGTCTTCACTAAATCTGCCCTGATGAACAGCGAAGACTTCAAGAACATGCACGGGAACACAAAAGCTGCCCTTGATTACTACATATCTATTAACAGCGATTCGTACATGGCGACATACTTTGGCAATATGGATAAGATGGTTTCAGCGATTCGGGCTTTCAAGGGGATGTATAAAACACTTTTCTTGAGTAGGAGGGCCTTCGCTGTTTTGACTTCGCAGGGGCTTAAGGGGAACTCTTTGATGGAAGCTTTGTGGAAGGTTCACAGGGATGATTTCGTTAGGGGTGTGGGATCCGGGTTGCCCGACTGCTTCTGTGAGTTCAAACTGTGATGCGAAGACCGAGCGGGCAACGATTCAGGTATTCTTTTAATTCATGGATTTTGGGGCAAAGCTTTGATCATCCATTGCTGCATTGAATGTGTTAAATGTATGCTCATTTTCTTGCAGTTGGAGGATTTTTCTCAGAGCATATTGTTGTGCCTTGTTTTATTATACAACTTTTTATTTGAATGTTTGGTCATTCATGTTCTATATGGTCTGAATCTGTTACTCGATTTTTATTTTCTTCTTTTGTTCAATTTTTATTATTATTATTATTATTATTTTTTTTTTTCCTTGAGTTTTCGGTTCACATACAAAGACCTTATTTTTAACTGAATTGTAGACTACATGATGTGGGGGGAGACATTGTTTTACACAAAATTCGGCAAATTTGGCCCATTGAAGGGCTGAATATCAAACCACCTTAGTCATTGTGAATAGAAGTTTGAGTGTTTTTGGCATATTACTACCAAATGGATTGAATTTTTTGTACGTGGCATGGGGAATAGTATAAAAATATAAAATATGTTATTTTAGATTGAACATTTGATTTTTATTTTTATTTTTTTTTAAAACTTTTTTCTATAAGTATTTGAAGTTTTCTTTTTTAATATATAAAAAATATTATGTTTTTTAATTATTATTTTTGGGAATCCTAGTTAAAAAATGGTGATGGAGAACATTTGGCAAAGTAGTACTTCCACCGGCCGATCACAATGGTTCTACACGCCGACAGTTACCCAATTGTCTTGTCGGATCTAATAGCCGCTGATGATTTTCATGTCATAAGAGGAAAAAAAAAAAAAAAAAAAGCTAATTAGCCGATTGTGACATTGTGATTTGTTTGTTGTGAACGGTTCGTCCACCACTTAATTGAAAAATTGGAGTTTGGACTTATGGTTTACTACCTAGGCGGGCCACATGGGCTAGCCCAACTCTTACACTTGTTTCAGATACATCAGACGGCGTTGAGGTCCGGTCACAGATCCCGCCGTCTCTCTCGTCGTCTTCTTCGTCTTTCCGTTGGTCGTTTCTAGTTTTCTTCGTCGTATTCTTTCACATTTCACTCCCCAATTCCGAAATTCCTTTCCTACCATCATCATCTTCTTCTTCTCTGGCAACGCCGTCTTTTTCTCTCCGGTGTTTGGCGTCGTCCTCCAAGACAGGACAGCTTCACCGTCGTCGTCTCATTTTCTTCTTCTACAGTTTCTTCGGAGGCTTTGTAGTTCAGTCCTTAACACGAATTTTGAATTATTTGCTGTTCTCAATGCCAGACGCTATAGTATTTAGGGTTTAACTTGTTTGATGTTAGTCGCAATTAGTTGCTTTGATTTTAAAATTAATTGGAATTTTGGACTCTATTTGTTCAATTTTTGTTTTATTTCCACGGATTTGTGGGTTAATTTATGTTTCTCTTGTTGGAATTGGCGTAGGTGCTTATGGATTGGTTCTAAGCTCTAATCTTTCACTGTTATACATTTTGGTGTGATTGAAGTTATCTTTGTGACTATTTCTATACAATTTTGAAAGTTTTAATAAGGTTCATGAGAATGTATTGAAAAACACACCAGTTTCTCTTTAAACGCATTGGCTTTATCGATTTAACATCGTTCTTGCTCTGAAACTCTTTGCTTGACAGGACAGCCATGGTGGTTAGATTGCTCCTCCGACGTCTCTCCAATTGTCCACCGCCACCGATCAACAAATTTCTGAACCTCAAGCCTTTCTCCTCTCATCCAATCGCCGCCGAGCCGCAGCAATTTGGCCACCAACACCTCGTCAACGAGCTCTCACGCATCCTCAGCGACTACAGAAACCCCCAAAATGACATCGAATCGGCTCTCACCCCCTTCGCTTCAACCATCTCAGCTGATGTCGTCGAACAAGTCCTGAAAAGGTGCAAAAATCTTGGCTTCTCCGCCCACCGATTCTTCCTCTGGGCTGAGAAAATCTCCGGCTTCCGTCACAGCAATGATAGTCATCGAATTCTCATTGACATCTTAGGCAGCAGCCGCCAGTTCCCTATACTTTGGGATTTCTTACTCTCGATAAAGAACACCAGATCCTTGGAAATCAGTCGAGACATCTTCTGGATAATTTTTAGGGCTTACAGCAAGGCTAATTTACCGGCGGATGCTGTCAGAGCTTTCAATCGGATGTCGGATTTCGGAATCAAACCTAGCGTGGATGATCTCGACCAGCTCCTCTACACACTCTGCAAGCGAAAGCATGTCCGCATTGCTCAGGAACTATTCGACCGCGTCAAGGTTGCCAATCTCAATCCAACGGTGAAGACTTACAGCATTCTGATCAACGGTTGGGGAGAAATTGCCGACTCTAATAGTGCACACCACCTGTTCGACGAAATGCGTGAACGAGGTTACGCTTTAGATTTGCCTGCCTGGAATAGTCTAATGGTAGCTTTGTGTAAATCCCGGCGTGTTGACGAGGCTTATCGATTGTTCGAGCATATGCAGCGTGATGGGCCTCATCCGGACGCACATTCCTACTCGATTTTCATCCATGCATCTTGCGAATCCGACGATCTCCATTCGGCATTTAGGATCCTTGAATCGATGAAACGGCGCAGTCTCGTCCCCATTGTGTTCACTTACAACTGCATTATCAAGAAGCTTTGCAAGAACGATCAGATCGAAGAGGCGTACGCCCTTTTGGATGAGATGATCGGGCAAGGGGCGCGGCCTGATGCGTGGACTTACAACACTATTCTATCTTACCATTGCGATCGAAATGAAGTCAACCGGGCCCTTAAATTGATGAAGAGGATGGATTTAGATTCATGCCGACGGGACAAGCACACGTACAACATGGTGCTCAAAATGCTGATCAGAATCGGGAGGTTTGACACAGTCGAGAAGGTTTGGAATTCGATGGAAGAGAGGGGGTTCCATCCCGTGGTGTCGACTTATGCCGTCATGGTTCATGGGCTATGTAAGAAGCGAGTGAAGGTCGAAGAAGTTTGTAAGTATTTCGAGATGATGATTGATGATGGGATACCGCCTTATGACTCGACATGTGAAGTGTTGAGGAAGAAATTGATCGGCTTACGCTATGCAGAGCTCGTCGACGTTCTTGCTGATAAGATGGGTCGGAGCAGCTCCCGACCAATGCAGGAGGCGGCAAAATTGATGAGGGGCAATAGGCGTAACATAGGATCGAAAAGCCACAAAGATTTCTCCGATGAAAGCGATGGTTCTCTTGATTTAAGTTATTAGTGTGATCTACAAATGAGTCGATACGCGACACTTTTAGACGATCGATTTTGTGTTCAAGCGAAAAGCAGTTAAAGTTCAACTCAAATTGGATCTAACTCGAGCTCGAGATGAGAGAATCGATTCATAACTATTCTAATGCTCTCTCTGTCCGACTCTAAGGGTCTCATTTACTTTTTACGTTATTGTATTTAATATTAAAAATATTTTTATATTTGTATAATTTTGTATACAAATGTCATTATAATTGTATTGTAAGACACTAATATAAGTATTTTTATCATTTTTTTTATTTGTGCTACGTTTTCATATAATAATTAATATTCAAATATCAACTCGCAAAAAGTAAATGGGACCCTTAGAGTCGAACAGAGGTAGTATTTCATTGTGTGGTTCTTAACGCCGTTGCACATTGCTCAAAGGAGTTGGCGTCTTCATTGGCAGTTCAAAGGAATTTCGGATGCGTATTTTCCAATAGTTTTTATTTAAATGATATTTTGATATGATATATTATAAAAGTATTACTCATTTCGTTCACAAACTAATGTCAAATTTTTATATATTGGACGTCCAACAACTATTGTCTTATTTATCTTTTTAAACACAAATTTTACCTTTTTACTCCATTCATTTATCGTTTTCAATCTCTACTTTATCATAAAGGGTAAATTTGTCAATACATAATAGAAAAATAATTACCTAAAAAAACTGTGCAAATGTACTTTATGACAATAGAAACGGATGGAACGTTATTAAATATTATTCCATCTATTTCAAAATAATAGTCTCATTTTCATTTTTGGTAGCTACTTTCCCACATTTTTACAAAACTGTCCTCACTTTTTCACAATAATTACTTAAAGTAGTGACATTTTGGTCTTTTAAAAACACTTTTACACTCACGACATTATTATTCCTTGACTCTTGTGCCCATCCCAAATATCTCACTGTTTTGGGACGAAAAGAATATATAAAATCAATAGTATTGATTGATATTTGAAATACAAACCAAACACGGTATTTTGTCTTATCCTATCATTGTCTAGAAAAAAAAAAAAGAAAAATCTCAAATTAGAGAGAATATAGTTGAAAGTGGAATTCTAGAGAAAAAAAAAAAAGTGTTGTTGGCATTGAAGTATTCAAATTTCTACATTCATCGGAAATGTTATTGAAGAATGAAAAATTGAAAATCCAATCGGAATGTCAATTAGCTGGTAGACGATCTTAATACTCTATACTCTTTTGAACTAATAAGGAAATTATACACATTTATTATTTTCTATTTTTGTGCAAGACAGGTCAATAGTACAATTGGTAGAAAATGCCAAAATCAATTATTACAATATCTTTTATTTAGCAAAAATTCAAATCAAATCAGCCAAACCTATGAAATCATATATTTGAAAGGAAAAGAACCTAATAATAGGTAAGGCCATAATACCAAAATCAATATATATATATATATATATCTTAATGTCTTTTTTTTTTTTTCCCATTATTGTCGTGAAATAAATGAAACAATAATTAAATAACATATTAATGCAATTAATATAATATTAATGCAAAATATTCGTGTTACTCATTATTTATATGTATATATATATATTGTGTACAATTTACTCAACATGCTAAGTATGCAAAATGTTAGATGTGGATTTGATTTTTGAGCTTGAATTTTATAATAGTAAAAATTTGAATTTAAATATTTTGAATGTAAAATTACTTTTTAGTATAGTATAATTAATTAATAAAAAATAATTTTTTAATTTTATATTTTTTGAGAAAAAAAATTAAATAATGAAAATCTTGTGAGAAATTTATTAAATAAGACAGCTTACTGTTAGTAAGTGTGAATATTGGAAAGTATATTTTATGTATAGTAGGCAATTTTTGAAACAGTATTGATGCAAAATATTATTGTTACTATAAATTCATATGGTAATAATCACATTGATATATATATATATATATATATAGTGTAGCATTTTCAATTGTGTCAAATTTTCTGTTATACATTTGCAGCAATGGTATGATAATAAAATACCATTCTTTATCACAACTTATCTTTTGATTTCTAACATTATTTCTACAATTTTGCAAATGCTTCTCCATATTCGAACTAATTTTTTGTTTTTAATTTACATAAAAAAATATTTTTATTACCATAATTTTTTTATTTTTTATTTTTGAAATTTATTATATTGTTATTGTAGGGATTTATAGCGCACGTGTTAGTTTTGTCGATAGCTCTTGTTGCATCGGGCATTGCTGCCCGATGGACAACCTTACAAGATTATACTTCGGGGGAAAGCACATTCGATGTAACGGAGTATGGAGCTGTTGGAGATGAAGTTACAGATGATGTTAAGGTAAGTCTAGATTAATAATTCTTCCATGAGCTTTAATTTTTGCTAATTTATCGTGTCCTTGGTTATCCGTTTGATCGCAAAAATTATTGTTGTTCGTTTAGGGTTTTGAATCGGCGTGGAAAGCAGCGTGCCAAGCTGAATCGGACAATGTTACGATAATTGTACCTAGTAAAACATTTTTAGTGTCTCCCATCTCCTTCGAAGGCCCATGCCAATCACAAGCAATAACATTTCAGGTAATTTTATATATATGCGCGCAGTGGCGGAACTAGACTTGAATTAGATGAGGAGTTAATTTTTTTAATTTAAAAAAATAATACATTTTATTGTAAATATTAATTTTTCGTATTTTTTTTTTTAAAAAAAAACAGTACAATTTCTTATTAATAAAAAAAAAAAATCCTCACTTAAAAGTTTTTATTACTCCTATCGTCCAACTGTGTGTTCAAATATTTTGACATAATTTTTAATAAAAATGCATAATAATTATTACTTTTTTTCTTTTATAGTAAAACATACAACAAAATAATGTATTTTTTTGCTAAAAATAAAACAAGAATATTCTTTTTACGCCAAAAAAAAAATGTGAGGTATGCTTAGAGAAACTTTTCCATGTATATAAATGAATTAATCCTAATGCGAGTAGATTGATGCAATTTTTTGTTAAAACCCTAATAGATCTTGGGAAAGATCGTAGCGCCTCCAAATGAAGAATGGAAGAATAAATCTAAAGATGTGTGGTTGAAATTCGAAAAGGTCGATGGTCTTATTGTTTCCGGGAATGGGAAAGGAACGATCGATGGTCGGGGAGAGTCATGGTGGGAAAAGGTTCGTTTTACAAATAAATTATGATTTGTAACTTATCTCCATTTTATTTACTTAGATACTTTTGGAATTTTTGTCATTATTCATCCATATTAATTATTTAAAAAAAATATTAATACCAAATATTTTTTTCTCTCAGATAAATTATACTTCTTTCGTCCGCCTCTAAGGGTTATATTTATTTTTTACATTATTTTACTTAATATTAAAAATATTATTATATTATTATATTTTTATTTTTGACAAAAATCCTTCTATTAGTATTATAATATACTGATGGAAGTATTTTTTCATTTTTTTAAAAAAAATTGTACTATGTTTTAATATAATAATTAATATTTAAATATCTGATACATAAAATATAAATGGGACCCTTAGAGCCGAACGAAGATAATATAAAATATTCAATATGTTACTCTTTTTAAAAATTTTCAAAATCTCTATCTAAAGAGAGCTAACCTTTGTATGTTTTCTAACATTTGATTTGTACCATGGTGACTAGGAATCTCCCGATAGTTCAAGGCCTTCGGTGAGTCTTAAGCCACATTATTGTATCGATCTTTTATTTGTTACATTAATCTTCGTATTTACAATGTAAATATAATAATTTTTTTTTTTTTTTTTTAGGCATTGCGATTTCAAAGTTGTGTAAACCTTCGAGTTGAAGGACTCAAGCATTTAAACAGCCCAAGAAACCATGTCTCGATTAAAGGCTGTCAAAATGGAAAATTTTCGGGCCTACACATGATGGCGCCGGAAGATAGTCCAAACACCGACGGCATAGACATCACCGATTCTGTCGGCATTAATGTTCATAACAACACAATGGAAACTGGTAACTTCGAATTTACATTAGTCATCAACTTAATTATACACAGATCGATATATATTTTTTTATTATTGAAGTGGATTGTCTTCGAAAATATAAGATATAAACATGTTATACCTATAAAACCAAAAATGATAAATTAAAAGATGTCACTTGGCGAATCAAAATTGTGTATATTTTTCCATATATATATATATATATATATATGTATTTATATAACTAGAATCAATCGATTTAATACATGACCGAGTTTAATATCTTGCTCATCGATGAAATGAAAGGGGATGATTGCATTGCTTTAAGTTCCGGAAGCTCAAATATCAACATATCAAACATACAATGTGGTCCGGGGCATGGAATAAGGTTTGAATCGTTTATTTTTTCTTGTCATGAAAACTAGAGTTGTTTAGATTAAAATTTTGGAAGTTTCGTACTATTTCAATTTTTTTCAAAAATATCACACCATTTTTTTTCTCATAAAATATTATATCAAATACTAACTTTTTACATTCCCAAAATTCCAAAACTCCCAAAATCTCTAGGTCTAAACAAATGTAATTTTATGCATCAAAATTCATATGCTCCCAATTAATTCATTCCTTTTACAGCATCGGGAGCTTAGGAAAAGGCGAACAATCCGAGGAAGTACACGATGTAATGGTGAATCACTGCATTTTTCATAAATCGACTAACGGAGTGAGGATCAAGACATGGGGGGTAAGAAATCAAGACTACCTTAAACTAGCCTAAATTTTACAATGCTAGTATTTTTTCGTACCTAACATAAATTTCGATGCTTGTTCTCGACATAGGGTGGCTCTGGATCTGCCAGAAACATCGTATTCTCCAACATAGTATTCGATCAAGCAAAGAACCCGATTATCATCGACCAACATTACTGCCCTCATGCGCAATGCCCTCCTACGGTACGATTGATGCTATTTTCTCATGCTCTACGATTTATTACAATTATGTTCGATCATTGATGTTTTCTTGATCATTTTACTTGTTAATTGACTATGTAGTATGCAAGACTGTCCCTATAGGTTTAAATTTTTAGGTGAAATTATCATAACATGGAATCAGAACGGAATGTCATGTATTAAATGACCATCTCACCTGATATATATGTAGTTTGTCCGTCTTATATAATTTGTCATTTCTATTTTTAAAAATATAATTATACACTTTAATTGCATTTTAAAATTTTAATTAAACTATTTAGTTATTTTGATAATTTATAATTATTTCTACTAATATACTTCTTAATTACTTACTAATTATACTTTACCTAAATTCTTATATCTACAGTAATACACCCAAGTTACATGGGACCGTGGGAGCATCATTTTAACATATCTTACTTAAAAGTTTAAATTTGTAAGGATATGTATCATTTATATGTTGTAATAATATTGCATCGACAGGAGTCGAATGTCAAGATTTTTAATGTGACATACTCGGGGCTTCGAGGGACAACGCTGAGTGACTATGCCATCGACTTCAACTGCAGTAGCACTGCTCCTTGTAAAGACATTGTACTGGAAAATGTCGAAATAATATCAGTCGGCGGAGAGGATCCCGGCGAAGTGTATTGCAAGCACGCCGACGTATTAGGAAAGGAAGGGCTGAGATGCCCTAGCTAGATGAGATGATGTTATACATATTTTATCAAACAATTAATATTCTTCATGTCGGAAAATAAAGGACTATTTAGCTGATCTAACGTTTGATTTGAGTAAGTTTGATGCTCTAAGTTAAATTTTCTGTGTGATTTTTAACTTGTACTTTCTTGTTCATATCATAAAATTATATATAAAAAAGTATCGTTGTACGTAAAATTTCATATAGTTGTATCCAATGTGTTACATTTTGCATTATGATTTTCTGATATGCATATTAATATTGACATTTAAATATTAAGCGCAATTTACACAAATTAAAATAATCTAATCTAATGTAAAACAATATAATCTAATCTAATAGATATAATCAAATATTTCTTCCGACCATCAATTTTATACCCAAATCCTTTGTAAATACCCCTTCGGTCCGCGAGTGAAGGAGTATAATCTAAACCAAACAAAAATTGAGTCAAAATTATATATATATATATATATATATATATATGGGTAAGTATTACCCTATGTTTAAATGAAATACATAAACTATTTCATGTTTTATTTAATTTATGTTATATGTTGGATAATCGGTTTGCAATCGATTATAATGCGACGGGTCGGTGTACCAAATTAATATAATTAATTTGGAAGAAATAAATAAATATTATTTATTGTGTATGAGGTTTGGTTAATATTTTGGCTATTTTGTCTGTCTCGAGACAAACCAATTTGTGCAACCCCAAATTAAACCCGGGTATATGGCCTAAGTCGCAATATTATTTGGATAAAATATTATCCGTTGGACAAATTTATTATAATCTCAAACGGAATGTTTGAAATTAGAATAAATTACGATCGTCACAAACGGAAGATTTGTAATTAGAATAAATTACGACTATTTCAAACGGAAGGTTTGAATTATATTAATTACATCGATAATTAAGGTCGTAATTAATCCCCTGCCATTTTAGCGGAGTGGAGACGCCTATATAAAGGGCTTCCCCTTCATTCTAATCGCCAACAACAATTCTCTTCTCCCTCTCTCCTCTCTTCTAGCTTTCCAGCAGCCCCCAGCACAGTTCCTCTCTCGTCTTTGTTCGCCGGAGCTCCAACGATTAGAAGTGTCACTCTCATTAGAGACGAAAACCGTTTTATCTTTGGGTTAGAACGTCATCCATCGAAGGCACTACCAAGGTGTATCTAATTTTCGGAAAGAGGATCCATCTTCGACTCGGTTTTACGTTTATTCTCGCAATACCTATATATTTCCAACATTATATTTATTAGTTTTAAATTAAAATATGCACAAAATATTATTTTCCTTTAAAGTTAATGTTTAATTATAAATGCACACTTAATTATACAAGTTCTATACAAATAAAATTAGTAAAATATCTTAAATGAAATCTTTTGAATAAAATAAATAACAAAATGATTGATCAAATGAATGGTTGATCAATTATTTTTATTTCTTTAATTCAAATAAAATTATTTAAAATATTTTACTTCTTGTATTTGCATAACTTGCATGTGTGTACATATTAAATATCAATTTTGAATTAAAAAAAAAAAGTATTTTATGTATACTATATTTTTACTTAAATGAAAGGGATTATTATGTAATTTATTCTATATTATTTATTTAAAAGATGAATAGAAATAGAATATTATAAATGAAAGAACATAGTTGAAATAAAAATAAAAATAGCACCACTATGATACAGGATGCCACTTGAAATATTATTATTATTATTATTCACAATTTTGGATGTGATACAATTTTTTTTTTTTTTATGGACAAATTTAGGAAACTTCTGCATTTTGAAAAAAAAAAAAAAAAAAAAAAAAAAAAAAAACAATAGTAAGCTATTTGTTGTTGCATTTCATAGAGTTTGAGAGTTGTATATAATTAATAATATATATAGTAAACTAAATATATAAAATATTTCAAACAATTCCTTCAAACTCAGTTAGTGATATGAACAATTTGATATTACTAAAAGAAATTGAAGATGACATAGGCGGAATAGTCCACCGAGTCAAATAGGGGCAAGCTAAAGCCTTAAAAGTATCGGAGTTAAAAACAAAAGTAGGACTTCCAATAGAATTAGAACCCATACATGGTACTAAATGGAATCAAGAGTCAAATGAAATCATACTCAAACAAAAGTAGAACTCTGAACAAAATTAGAATTAGAAACATATAAAGATGTGAATGGAACCAAAGTCGAAAACAAACAGAGGATTTCAACAAGAGTTAAGAGCGAATAGGGCTCTAAGTAGAATCACACCGGATGAATTATGAACGGAATCAAAGAAGTAAGTAGATAAGGTTTTGAATGGAATTATATTTGGAAACAAATATAAGATTTCACATTGAGAGACCTCTTGATATATTTCAGGTTGAGTGTACCTAATTAGAGCTGTGAATGAGCCAAAGTGAGCCGAAATTTTTATTTTTGATTTCACGTCGTTAAGAACTCGAGCTCGATCGTATTCATTCGTTAAGATTACGAACTAAAATTTTCGTTTAAACATGGCTTGTCTAGCAATTTCTGTGTTCGTGTTCAACTTGATTTGGCTAGTTTAGAGAATTTTTTATTTTATTTATTTTATTTATATTTAAATTTAAATTCAATTAATAATAATTATAATTTTTACTAATAAATTAAATAAAAGATAGAGTTAAGTATAATATTCATAAAGATATATATATTTATTTAATATAAAAATATTAATTTTATTTTTTAACAAATACGGTTAAACATTGCGAACAAGTTAGAGCTAGTTCGTGAACATAATAAGTCAAAATATATATTAGTGTTGGGCTCGTTTAACTTAGCAAACGAGTTTTTAACGAATCGAGCTTACGAATTGTTCGTTTGTTTTATTTTTTTAAACATACTCCGATAAACATGGCCTTAATACTATATTACATTTTGCGAAATTTCAAAGTTACGTATTATTAATAATAAAATCAAGAGTCTATAAATAAACATGATACATACTCGATAAATTCGATTAATTCAAATAATAAAAATATAATTTAATAGTTATAATAACGTAATAACCTAATCTAATTGACATAATCAAATAATAACAAATTTATCTACCGGGCTTTGATCAAATCATGACAATATAATCTAAATAATAATTTAAGTATCTGAAATATGTCAATAGTAATATAGCAAAAGTCACTATGTTAGATGTAACAATCAATGCCTTTTATTTGATGTTGTTTATAATCCCAACAAGTTTTATTGCCTTCTAGTTTATATAAATAAATAAATATATATATATATCACATGAATGCACTTCCCCAAATGCAATATAGTAAGTTAAAATGTTAAGTTACTATTCATACTACTAAGTGTGTTTGTTCAGGGATTTGGATTTTGAGTTGGGATTTGAATAGTAAAAATTTTGAATTTGAATAGTTATATGATGTGATATAAATAGATATTGATGCGATATTTTGAATGTAAAATTGATTTTTAATATAATATAAAAAATAAAAAATTAGTGTTTAATTTGATGCTTTTTAGAAGTAAAAATGAAATAAATAGTGGATTTAAGATCCAATTCCCAAACAAACACACCCATAACTGTCAATTTTGGAAATATATATTTATGTTTAGTGGGCAATTTATACTATAGTAATGTAAATTCTTATTGTTACTAATATTATCCACATATACATGGTAACAATACAATCATATTGAAATATATATATATATATATATCTATAGTGTAGCTTTTTCAATAAAAATACTGTGGTTGCAAAGCTTCTTCCTAGCTCCATATATTTACAGATATGGTATGACAACAAAATACCATTTTTGATCCCTACTTAACTATAGATTTCTAACATTACTTCCTACACTTTGCAAATACTTCTCTACTTCATTTAATTGTTATTTGAAATATTTTTAATATAAAATAGAATTTAAATTTGTTTTATTTATAGAAAAAAATATATTTTTTTTAATTTTATCTTTTTGTATTAATTCATTACATTGCTATTATAGGAGTTTATATTGAACGTGTTAGTTTTATCGATAGCTCTTGTCGGATCGGGCGCTGCTGCCTGGCGAACAACATTACAAGAGTATGTTTCAGAGGAAAGCACGTTCGATGTCACGAAGTTTGGAGCCGTCGGAGATGGAGTTAAAGATGATGTCAAGGTAAGTCTAGATTAATAATTCTTCCATGACCTTGAATTTTTGCTAATTTATCTGTGTTCTTAATTATCCGTTTGATCGCAAAAATGTTGTCCGTTTAGGGTTTTGAATCGGCATGGGCAGCAGCATGCCAAGCTGGATCGGACAATGTGACGGTAATTGTACCTAGTTACACATTTTTAGTGTCTCCCATCTCCTTCGGAGGCCCATGCAAATCGAAAACAGTCGTATTTCATGTAATTATATATATATATATATGTAGAGAAATTTTTCAATGTAAATGAATTTTAATTCCAATGTGAGTAAATTGATGCAATTTTTTGTAAAACCCTAATAGATTATGGGAAAGATCGTAGCGCCTCCGAAGGAAGCATGGAATGATACCTCTATACGAGTGTGGTTGGAATTCGAACAGGTCGATGGCCTCGTTGTCTCCGGGAATGGGAAAGGAACGATCGATGGCCGGGGAGAGACTTGGTGGCAAAAGGTTGGTTTACAAATAAATTATGATTTGTAACTTATCTCAACTTTATTTACACAGATATTTTTAGAACTTTTGGCGGTATTTATCAGTAATAATTTTTTCAAAACATCATATTAAATATTTTTTTTTTCTCAAAAAATATCATATTTAATACTTTCTCCATCCGGAAAATTTAACTCATTTGGGCTCGGTATGCGGATTAAGAAAAATAAATTTTTTATTAAAAAAAAGTAGAAAAAAATTAAAAAAGTAGTTTGGTGGGTATTTTGAAATTTTAATTAAAGGTAAAAATAAGGGAGAGATAATGTAATTAAGCTAATGGTATTTATTGTAAATAAGTGTTGCATAAAAGGTAATAATTAAATTTGACTTTTTTACTTTTTTAAATATAGTAACGGAGTAAATTTAACGGACAGACGAAAAAAAAATAGAATAAATTTGACGGACAGCAAGAGTAACTTTGTATTATTATTAAAAATTTTCAAATTTTTCATCTATATAGAGCTAATCTTTCTATATTTTCTAACATTTGATTTGTACTATATTTTCTAGGGGTGTCCCGACGGTTCAAGGCCTACGGTAAGCCTTAACCCGTGGTTTATTGTTACGATCTTTTATTTGTTACATTAATCTTTGTGCCTACAACGTAATTTTTTTTTTTTTTTAGGCATTGCAATTTCTAAGTTGTGTCAACTTTCAAGTTGAAGGACTCAACCATGTAAACAGCCCAAGAAACCATGTCTCGATAGATGACTGCCAAAAGGGAGAATTATTGGGCCTACACATGACGGCGCCGGAAGATAGTCCCAACACCGACGGCATAGACATCAGCTATTCTGTCGGCATTTATATTCATAACAACACAATGGAAACCGGTAAATATATATTCGAATTTACATTCGCCTTTGTACTAATTATACCTGGATCAATATATATATATAACCGAGTTTAATAATATCTTGTATGTTGATAAATGAAAGGGGATGATTGCATAGCTTTAAATTCCGGAAGCTCGAATATCAACATATCGGACATACAATGTAGTCCGGGGCACGGAATAAGGTTCGAACCATTTCTTGTTATTATCGAAATCTCAAATGTGTATCTATGCATCAAAATTTATAGGCAAAATTGCTTCTAACAAACTTTGGGTGTGTTTGTTTGAAGGATTATAAGAGATTTGTATTATTCATACTAATTTTTTCTTTCAAAAATATCAAATAAGACATTTATTTTTTATTTTTTATATTATTCTAAAAATAATTTTACGCAGTCCAAAATCTAAATTCCTGAAGAAACACAATGGACTTTAAAATATGCACCATCCTCTCTTATAATTTATAAATTTAAAAAGATTTTCTCGTATTTTAAAAAATATTATTTGAAAAAATTGCATAAAATTCCAAAAAACAAATTGTGTAATAATTTTTCAAATCAAAAGTGGGTTATAAGCATGAAATTAACATGTTTCAAATTAATCCATTTTTCTTACAGCATCGGGAGCTTAGAGAAAAACGGACAAACCGAGGAAGTACATGAAGTAACTGTGAATCACTGCACTTTTCATAGATCGGAAAATGGAGTGAGGATCAAGACATGGGAGGTAAGAAATCAAGACAACCTTAAACTAGCCTAAAATTTACAAAGGCTCCTATTTTTCGTGCCAAACTTAAATTACTATGGATGCTTGTTCCCGACATAGGGTGGCTTTGGATCTGCCAGAAACATCGTATTCTCCAACATAGAATTCGATCAAGTGAAGAACCCTATTATCATGGAGCAACATTACTGCCCTAATGAGCAATGCCCTTCTATCGTACGATGATGCTATTTCATTTTTATTTTATTTGATCATTAAATTATTTTAATTTCTTGATCATTACACTGATCCGTTGTAATATTTTATCGACAGGAGTCCAATGTTAAGGTAATGAATGTGACATACTCGGGGCTTCGAGGGACAACAGTGAGTAACTACGCCACTGACTTCAACTGTAGTAGCACTGCTCCATGTAAGGACATTGTACTAGAAAATGTCGAAATAAAATCAGCCGGCCGAGAGCTGGCTCGGGCGCAAGTGTATTGCAACCACGCCAGCGTATCATCAATGGAAGGGCTGAGATGCCCTAGCCAGATGAGATGAGATTATCTAATAGTTTATCACACAATTAATATTATTCTTCATGTCGGAAAATAAGGTATTGATTATTAGTGCATCTAATTAATGTTTTATTTGAGTAAATTTGATGTTTTTTTTTTTTTTTTAATGATGTGAGAATCCGCAGCCGCTACCCGAAAGTACGCTGTCAAGTTATGGAAAGAGAAGAGAAGCAGAGAATTAAGAAGATTGAAGACTATGGTGATAATCTTTTTGCTATTGTATTTTATTTGGTTGATTTAAGTTTATTTTTCTTGGGCCAGCCCATTAGGTTGTCAGAGCTTGTTAGAGGTAGATTCTTTGTATATATCGTCTTCTTCCTTGGCTAATCAACAGTGAGATACACAGTAGTTGTATTTTCATTTTCTTCATGGTATCAGATCACTCAGGGCATTGGGATTACTGCTCTGCGATTAAAGGATCATTATTTCTCTTTATCTGATTGGGAGTTTTCAACCTTGAATCATGTCAATTGATTCTTCTACCTCTGATGTACAGAGCTTGAATGCAGCGGCTCAAGTGGTAACATCTATGGCACACTTGGAGTTGCATCCATCTGATCAACCTGGTATGAGCTTGATTACTACCCAGTTCAATGATACTAACTGCCTACTGTGGAGTAGGGGATAATGCGTGCCCTGATTGCAAAAGAAATAGGCCCATTATAACCTAACCCAATTTATCACCATCGTCTTCAATCTTCTTAATTCTCTGTTTTTCTTCTCTTTCCATAACTTGACATACGCATTGAGTAAATTTGATGTTTTAAGTAATTGTATGATATATGCAACGCTCGGAGAATTAAAATTTATTTATTTATTTATTTATTTTATTTTTGTTCTTCTAAAAATAGATGTCAATACAAAGGGATAAGAGGGAGGGGAAATAAACATGATGGGAATCCAATACGTCAAGAATTGAGAGCTTTGCCACTAGGTTTAACCATCATTCACATTTTTGGTTAATTAGTTTGTTCCAAAAATTAGTTTTATTTGTTTTTTTATGTAATAATTACTAAATAATCAAACAAATTAAAACTTAGTTAAATTTAATTAAGAAAATCGACACTTCTTCAACTTAATAAAATAAAGAACAAACCTAGCCAATAAAATCAAAAACCAACTAAGCCATTTTTTCCCTTCTTCTCCTTTTCGTTCATCCTTATTTCTTCCTCCTCGCATCCTCCATTTTTTTGTGTCGGTAAATTCAATATTTTGGTGAATACTTTAATCTAATTCCATATTTTACCCTAAATTTGTAAGAAATTTTCATTTAGGTCACCATCTTTAAATTGATCTTCTATTCATAAGCTATGTCTCTTCAGAGGAGAAATAGGCCTTTATGGAAAATTTTAGCCCACCGTGTTCATTTTTTTATTTTTTTTATGACGTGGGAATCGCAGCCGCTATTCGAAAGTGCGCACTGGATAAACCCCAACTGAACATAATACCCTGCAAACTAGGCCCGACAGAATATTAGTTTGGCCACTTATGAATCAATTACTTCTCTCGTAATTGAAGAGGTGACTTGCTCTGGGAGTAAGACCTGCGGATGGCGCCCTCTGGTAGTAGATGAGAAAGCTAGTGAGATGAAAACTAATAATTGAAAAATAAATTTAAATTAGGCTGATGATTCCAATGTTGAAACAAGAATTACTAGATAATTTGTGTAAGATGCATAATTTCCCAAGCTTATTTAAGGACTTTGACAATAAACACTAGTTAGAATTATACTAAAGACTTTTATTGTTGGAAATTTAATACTTCTATTAATAATGTTCTATAGATTTGCAAAATATTATTGTGAATTATACTTATGAAATTACGATCACAAACTTCGTTGAATGCTGAAAATGTGATATTGTGTGTATTTTCAGGTTGGGTGCTAAATATATGATGCTACTTGTATTTTGACGCTAATTGGATGCTGAAAATTTCATACTTTCTCACATGATTTTAAATGGAAAGAATGGATAGGAATTTGATGGGCCGCCTTAGAGTACTGATTTGACTAAATCAGCAAACTGAAAGAATTAGTAGATTATTACTTAATATATAGCATATCACTAAGTTAGTACATTAATTTAAAATAATTAGCAAATCTTCATAAGACATAATATATATTGTGTTATATAATATGGTATATGTTATGCGATGATTTGGTATTTTCTTTATGAACATTTTTTAATTTGATCAAATTTGTGTGAACCAAAATATATTTTGTAAAAATCAAAATATATTTTGCTATATATAATTATATAATATACTATTCAAATATGTATTATATTCTATATTAATATTTGTTATTTTCTTTATAAACATATATTAATTAGATCAAATTAACATCATGCTGATTTGACCCAATTAACAACGAAATTGATGATATTGTTGTTTGCAAATGAATTATATTATGAAAATTGAATATGGAGGGAAATTGAGAAACTTTTTAGAAAGAATTTTTGAATTAAATTTTATTTAAAGTATTGGAAATTACTATGTTATGAATTTATAACCCGGGTTGTTGCAATTTATTCGAACAATGTCTGATATATAAAAATACGAATGTAAATTAGCGGAATCGAATTCGAATAAAATCAAAATTAATAATATTGTAACGAAATGAAATTAAACTATTAATAAAGGCTTAAACGGATATTCTGGAAATCAAATCTAAAACCAAACAAACAGCCCAGGATTGAAAGACTTTATTCGAGCAATACATCCAATATAAAAATACAAAATATTAGCTAAATCAACATTCTAATAAAATCAAAATAATATTAAACCAAATCGAAATTAGAATTAAACTAATTAAACAAAGGCAAAATAATTTTAGAAATTTAGAAATCAAATACAAACAAACAGCCCTAATTGGAAATTAAAGAAAGGCATCCAGAGCCTTCCCTTTTCCTTCACATATTTTGATCACAATTTTTCTAAAATCGACGAATTCAATCGTGACCCACGATGGCAATATATATATCTATCGATATATATATATATATATGGAATTGAATTATTTTTTTAGATATTTATTTTAATAGATAGAGTATTTAAAAGTAAATAAATATTCCATATTTTATTTTATTTTATTTTTCATCCAATAAAAAGTAATCAAAATAATATTTCATTAAAAATATTATATCAATTAACTCAACTTAATAAAGTATTTAATTCAATATTTTTTTAAACTGCATGCAATAAAATAAAATAAAATAAATTTAACGATACGAAGAGAGTATTCGAAAAATATCCTTACTGGTAAAATATTATCAAATCATAGACAATGACAGAATCATGATTGATGGAAAGAAATTAATTTTCCAAATTTATAAAATACAATTGATTTAGATATACAAATAATATGTCTATTTGTTGTCAAACAAATTTATTTTCTGAAAATCATATTTTAAAAATATTATTAAATAATAAACTATAGCACTAACAATAGCCATATATTGTAAATATTTAAGTTTTTTTATATTTTGAAATAAAAAAAAATATTAATTTCTCATTAGAAAACACACCAAAAAAAATCACACGCGAGGTTTCTAGCAAGGTTTCTAGCAATTTTTTGTTCATACTAATTATACTTTTTCTATACTTACTATATATATATATATATATATATATTTGGAATGCAATTATATTGTTCTACATTTTGAAAAAATAAAAATATAATTTAAAATCCTTGAAGAATTGAAGTAATATGTTTAGAACTGTAGAATTGAAGTATCAATTTTTAATTCAAACTTTTAATTAAAAGAATGATCAATAATAAATTAACACATGATCTAATAAAATTTAAACTTAAATTAGAGAGAAAAAAAAAATTTTGTGTTTTTTAATAGTAAAATTTGATTTTAACGAGAAACAATACAACTAAACTTTAAAACTCTTGTATTGCATCGAACAAAAAATAAAACACAAGAACAGCAAAGCGAAGTTCGGCTCAGCCCCTGGCACAACCCTAGAACATATATCGGACGTGTGGAAAAGGAAACACAGGTACCAGCTCTACCTAGAACAGCCTCGACTAATCGATTTAAGTCCCACACACCAAACCCTACCACAATCAATCGCACAGTGAACCCTCGCCGATACACGAATGAAATCGCACAAATCTTTCACTCTTACCCGAGGAAACACTCGCCACAAACATAGAGTAAAACCCCACACAAACTCCTCAATCGATTGCACACAGTATTGAGAGGAAGAAGACGAAGAGCAGAAAAGAAAATTCGCGATCTGATGACTCGATGATTAATCAATTTAGAAAACAGCCCCTCGTACTAGATCTTCAACACTTACATTGGTTAGTGGATTGGGCCAAGGAATTGGACCATAGCTTCTCACATTGGGCTTTAATATACAAATGTCTCATTATAAATCATGGGCCAAAACCCAACAAACTCTCCACCTTTTTTGGCATGATAAAATGAGGGGCGCCTAAGGGATCATCATAGCCACATGTGCTAGAACACAAAGTTAGTATTTACTCAAAAAATCAAATACAAGAAACAACATACTAGCAAGCAGTAAACAACTAACCAGGATCGAAATTTCAAATTCTTAAGCATGAATCAAATTTCGAAACAGGCAAAGGCTTTGTCCCCATGTCAGCGGGGTTAAATTGTGAAGGTATCTTTTCAAGTTTTATAAAACATTTTGCAACTATATATCGAATAAAATGGAATATAACATCAATATGTTGGTTCTATCGTGAAAAACGGGGTTTTTGCATAATTGAATACCTGATTGACTGTTAGAAAATACCTGTACGAGAGGAACCGTTGATTTACACAATTGGTCATCGCGCTTGGTTGAAAAATCAGTGGCGCAAAACTACCGTACGCTGGATTATGACTGAACGCCTCTAAGTTAGAATTCGGGCTAGAAGCGACGCGTACGCCCGCTTGCCGACCCGCAGTAGGGGCCTTCTGGCCCCCAAGGGCACATGTCGTTGGCCAAGCCCCCGCGGTGGACAAGCCGCGTAGGCCGCCTTGAAGTACAATTCCCATCGAGCGGCGGGTAGAATCCTTTGCTAACGACTTAAATACGCGACGGGGTATTGTAAGCGGCAGAGTGGCCTTGCTGCCACGATCCGTTGAGATTCAGTCCTTCGCTTCGATTCATTAAAGAAGAATAAAACAAGGTGGCAGGGTTTGAAGGGAGGATTGTTGGGGTGCAAACCCAAGTCCCACATTGGGAGTTTGAAGAAAATTTTATACTTTATAAGTCTCAAGTGAACTTCACTAGTACGAGGTCTTTTGAAAAATATCCAAAAATAAATTCGTATGAGCTCAACCCAAAGCGGACAATATCATACTATTGTTAAGTGTATTTTGTGGTTTTAATCTTAAAATTCACACATTAAGCATCCATTTAGATAGAATTATTTTATGTGTTATAAAAAATAAAAATTAATATAATATTTTCTAAGGAGAAATAAAAACTTTGTTACTAAATAGTGTTAAAATTTTTAAAAATATCTATGTAAACAGGACAAAATATATTCACCTAATAATTAATATTACACTCATATATTTTCAACGTTTTCATTTTCTTCCGACATATTATTTGCGAGTTAACAATGTAGTCAGGAACATACTATATAATAATAATAATAATAATAATAATAATAATAATAATAATAATAATATAGTCAAAGATTCTTATCCAAAACAACATAGAAATACAAATAGAAAGATAACTAATCTCGCAAACATTATATACACAAAAATTAAAAAATGACATGACTATTTAATAATTAATAATATATTAATCAAATGAATAACATTATAATATAAATAATTAAATTAAAATTAAAATAATTAGTTAATCTAATTAAATTTTAGAAATTATAAATTATAATTTTTAAAAAATAATTAAAAAATATTTTTTAAAAAAAAAAAATGATATAAACTATTGAATAGAGATAAACAGAAATCATGACATAACTCCTACACTTTCAGATTTTGTCAGTTAATTTTTGTGGAGCTATTTGGTTAAGTCATAAATTTACTGAAAAACACCTGAAAGAATGATTGCAGGTAAATATAAATTATATCTCAAATTAATTTTTATTTTTAAAATTATAATTTTAAAATATATAAATTTTAAATTATATTCATATATATATATTTTAAATTCTTTCTCTTTTTATCTTTCTCTATATGTCATAATTTTATTGGTTAAAATAAAAAGAATAAGAGAATTTGGGGATAGAAATTTAGTGCAAACAACATAAACCCCTGTGGCTATACATGGTCTAAAACGTGCCGAAATCCAAAAAGGACTCAGAGCTTGCGTGTCAGGAATAACACAAGCCCCCGTCATCCCAACATCAATTCAATCTCCACCATTTACTGCACACATCAACGGTGCAGATCCATCCGGATCCAAGATCCCGTACTCTCCCAAAACCTACACAAAAATGAAACGACCGTACGTTATCCAAATAAGAATCTACTCAGCAGCAACGTGGGAGGTGACGTGTCCAAACCGAGTCAAACAGCACGTGACATCCTCAAGTTAGATAAACAATGCCGACTGCCCCCCCACCCCCACCCCCACCCCACCCTCCCCATATATATCTTCGATCCACCATCCTCTATATATATATAAACAAATCAAAAATCAATCTGCTACAATTCAGGCGACCAATTCGCGGCTGCAGTATCGCCGATCATCCCCAATTTCGACCATTCATTACCTAATCGTTGTCCGATCTTCTCTGGGTCGTCGGAATCCTGTCTGGATCGAACACAATTAAATTAATTAATTAAGATGAAGGAGATGAAATCTGGGAATCCATTGCAGCTCTCGTCTGTAAACCACATCTCCCTTGTCTGCAAATCAGTTCAACAATCCCTCGATTTCTACCAGAATCTCCTCGGATTCGCCCCCGTCCGCCGCCCCGGATCCCTCAAATTCGACGGCGCCTGGTAATCAATCAATTCCTCCATTCATTCATCAATTAAACCCTATTTTATTAATTAATTTGGGTGCTGGTTCAGGCTGTTCGGACATGGAATTGGCATACATCTTCTGCAATCAGAAACCCCTCAGACTATGACCAGGAAAACCGTCATCAATCCCAAGGACAACCACATTTCTTTCCAGGTACATAGTACCTAGGGTTTGGTCTGTCATCTGAAATTAAATTCCTATTTATTTTATATATATATATATGTATATATGTATATAGTGTGAGAGCATGGCGACGGTGGAGAAGAGGTTGACGGAGATGGGGATTGATTGGGTGCGGCAAAGAGTGGAGGAAGGCGGGGTGTACGTGGACCAGCTCTTCTTCCACGATCCCGACGGCTTCATGATTGAGATCTGCAACTGCGACAACATCCCCGTTGTACCTTTGGCTGCGGAAATGGTACGTTCCTGCGACAACAACGGCATCCCCGCGGTTGTACCTTTGGCTGGAGGAAAGGTACGTTCCTGCGACAACAGCAGCATCCCCGCTGTTGTACCTTTGGCTGGAGGAATGGTACGTTCTTGTTCCAGGTTGAATCTACAGCAACAGCAGATCCATGTCCCCGTTGTACAGCTTTAGTTAGATTGTAGTATGTAATTTTTATTGTTGTTGTAATTATTGGCAGCCGTTGGATCTGGAGGGATCCTACAAATCGAACGGCTCATCCATTGCCTGTAGTTTTTTTTTTTTTTTTTAAATATGATTATTTTAATTTAAAATTTTTATAATTATTCTCTTTTTCATTATGTTTCATATGAACTTTACATTGGTAAGATTTAAGATTAGAAGAATGATGAAGCGTCTAAGTCATCCAGCCTTAATTTCTAAAACACGTTGTTGATCCTTTGCTGTAAATTAATTAATTTGTTAATTAATTATGTCGTGTGGATTACTTAATAAATAAATGCCTCCATTTTGTTCTTGTTTCCTTGCAAATTTGTTTTCGTTTTTATATTCTTCATTACAATCACAAAGGAACTTATTTGACATGTAGTTATTAACTAGTTGTTTAGTTGTTATACGATATCTAGCCCATCTGTATAGTTTAGAAATATTCACTTTTATGAGCGATGATGCTCGAGCTTTCCGTTATCTATACGAGCATTCGCAGATCAATCAAATACTTTTAATTTAGAATGGGTCTCGTTCATCGGTTCATCCTTATGCTTAAGAAAATATACTAAAACATATCTAGAGTATTCATCAATAAAAGTCGTGATATATTTGAAAACGCTTTAATTTGAACAAGGTAAATGAATGACCCTAATTATCAAAATGGATGTAATATAATGTACACTTTATTTTGTAAGTAATTGTAAACATCATTTGGCAATACTTTCTACGGACACAATGCTCACAAAAGTTGAATTTTCCAAACTTTTGACCTTACCAAGTCTTGTTTGTTCAAATTAGACATGCATACATACATCACTTATATGGCTAAGAGGCATATGTCACAAGTGAGCATTATTTAAATTAAGATTTTATGAAGAATCAATAAAAATTGATACAGAATCTATAAAAATATTGCCTAAAATAAATAGAGATTATTATCAACATTTTACGAAATATAATGAGAGAACCACTAAAAATTCGTAAAGCTCCACCTCCACATGTATATTTATAGCCAAGTGAATCAAGATTATCCAAATAAATAAGATTTATCTTCAACTCTAATATATCTCGAATAAGATTTCCAATAATCTTCTTTGTAATAATAAAATTGAATCTTACATACTATAAATTAAAATCTAGATAATTCTTCTTGAAGTTTCTATTATTTATTATACATCTAGTAATCAGATCTAGCTCGATCATCAATCAAGTTTTAGATACATTTTGCTCAATTCTTTAGGTTTCAATAATGCTTTATCATCTTCGGCATAAATAGTGTCATGATCATATAGAATTAGACAGACAAAATATTTTAATAAATGAGATAAAAAAATAAAATAAAATAAATGTTTGATCTTCATCATCAATCTTGACATCAACATTCTTTACAGATATAATATGTTGTCAAAATTCGATTCATAATAAGTGTAACTTTTTTCACACGAAGTGTATAGTGCTCCAGAATAAAGTCAAATAATCAACAATTTTGTTATACATTCTTTCAGTTCTGTCGACAAACCTGTAGACGATGTCTCATTTGCAAGAATACGTAGAATATTATCACTCAAAGATAATTGAATAGTATTGAGAGCATATGCCAAGATGTTTTTATTTTGTCTTCATTGGACATTGCTCCCAAGTGTACTTATTTGCATATTAGTACATTTAACAACTTTTATTGAACTAGTGAAGTAACCATTTTGATCCAACATAATTCTAAATCATTATTGTCATCCAATTTCACCACATCATGTTTGTAACACCAATTTGTTATAATACCAATTTGTTGTAAAATCGACGGATAAAAAATAATATATTTTTAATCAAAAAATAATATTAGAAAAAAAAAAACACACACACACAATTTATATTGTGTGAGCTAAATCCCTATGTTCACAACTAGAAAATAATTTTACTAATCAATAGAAATTCTCAAATACAATATATATATATATATATATATGTATCTCTATAAAATCACCAAATTGCCAATCAAAATGAATACAAAAGGAACTTTATAATTTCGTTGTATTCCAACCAAACAAACCCCTCAAACCTCAATCACAACCTAGATGCACTAAAAAAATAAAATAAAATAAAAAATTCAATAATAGACGTATGTTGTCGTTCCATCATTCCTTCTCATTTTAGAGTCGATCCAAAAGAAAATCCATTATTAAAATTTTCTTCCCTCTTAATCTCATATGTGTATATATTTAACTAGAGTTTAAGACCATCTCGATAAATATATACCAAAAATGGAGTGGAGGGTTGGAGATGGCATAAGTATAATTAAACTTAGACTTGATAAATAGACTTAATTTTTAGTTACAAAATAATACTCGTTCTTCCACTTCAGATGGTCTATTTTTTTCTTTTTGATGGTTCTTTCTATTTTTGATAAATTTAAAAATTTTAAGCATATTTAATAAATATAATCAATTTAATCAAATTTTAAACTTCTTCCGCAAAGAGTTCATTCAAAACTTTTTTATTTCAATCTTTTCTTTTCAATAAATAAATGTTTTTTTATTTATATTTAAAACTCTTTTTTATAAAATTAGTTTATATTAATTATAAACAAATAAATAAATAAATTTTTTTTTATAAAATAAATATTGTATTTATTTGTATTATAGAAAATTTAATTTTCTAATAAATAATATTCATACGGTGTATATTTTTATTGAAATATAATGCTAAAAATATTTAAATACATATTCTAAATTATTTTAAATTATATATATTAATTCTTATTTTAAAAATACTAACAATATTACTCATATAAAAATAATAAAAATGATATCATAATTTATTAATATTAATCTACTAATTTATACTCTGTAAAATCTAAAATACCGTATTCTTAATAAATGGATCACCTTGTCCGGGACGAACTTAGCAAATGATAACTTTAGCCGTTATAAAAATAGAAAGATAACGAAGTACTAGGCGATATTCTTATTAATAAATAAAGTCCAAAATAAATTCTTTAAAAGCCCATAAAAATTGGGCCCAACTAACAAAAATCCCCAAATAAAAATTATCCAACCATATTATTATTATCTACTTCAAAATACAAATAATGGAGACGTAACGGCGGCGCGGCGGCGGCAGAAATGGAAATCGCCCAGAGAATATCTCACCGCATATTTCCAAGTTCGTTGAGGCGCGGCCTTACGAATCCCATTTCGAGAAAACCCTACTTGACCCGACCCGTAATCCGACCCATTACAACGCGGAACCGCAGCAGATCCGGATTGGCAGCCCGGGCGGGTTGGTTTCTGGGTATGGGCGAAAAGAAGAATGAGCTGCCGGAGATCGTGAAGGCCGGCGACCCGGTGCTCCACGAGCCCGCCCAGGAGGTCGGGTTGGAGGAAATCGGGTCGGAGCGGATCCAGAAGATCATTGATGATATGGTGAAGGTGATGAGGAAGGCGCCTGGAGTTGGACTTGCCGCCACCCAAATTGGGATTCCATTGAGGGTGGGTTTGTAATTTTTTATTTTTTATTTTTTTATTTTTTTATTTAGTTTTGATTTTATGATATAATTATAGTCGTGGGAGATAATTTTTTGGTTTATTCGTAAAAACAAATATAAATAAAAATAATAATTGTTGAATGTAGACTAACAAAGGCATAATTACGCAGAGCAGTGGATATTTTGATTAATTTGTGGTTTTACCATTGTTGGTTGGATAAAATTAGGGCTTTGTAAGAAAAAGGAAAAAAAAATGGAGAAGAAGATTTGAGTGATAACAATAAGGAAATGCCTAATTATACTTAAGGGCTTTCAATGTTAACTTGGGGCTTATATAAATATATATATAAAGAAATGATTTGTTTTTTTCAAGAATGTTGATAAAAATAATGCTTTTTTATTTAATGACACTAGATGAACCATGTGTGGCAGGTGATCTGAGGCGTCAGGGGTTTGAACCCATGACCTCACGGTCACATCCAACCCCCACACCACCAGACCATTACTTACGGGACTTATTTTATGTTTTTGTTGGTCGATGGAATGGTTGTTTGGTTGTGGTTTGAAATTAGAGTTTTGATTTAAGATTTAGTCTAAATAACATTTAATATGATATTTTATGAAAATAAATTACGTATTTTTATTGAAATCATAAAGAGCTGATAGTGTGGATAGTGGATTGAAATCACAAAAGAACAAGTTAACTTGTTTTGCTATAAATCTTGAAAGTGATATTAACACACCTAGAAGGACCATTCGAGTTTTCTCTCGGAATAAATTTATATTCATTTGATCTAATTGTATGTTTCAGATTGTATTTGTTTTTATTTTTGTCCCCTCATACTGTAAACAGATAATTACTTTGGAAGATACAAAGGAATACATTGATTACGCCCCGAAGGAGGATATCAAGGCGCAAGATCGAAGGCCTTTTGATCTTTTGGTATGGCAACACCAAACTCGAAATATTTATATATTTTGGTGCGGCGCTTATTCTCTTCTGCTGCAGGTTGTGATAAATCCGAAGCTAAAAAAGAAGGGCGACCGATCTGCCTTCTTCTTCGAAGGTTGTTTGAGGTAAGCACGAGGACTAGCAAACTACCCACAACAAAACTTTTTTTTTTTAATGTTGATTGAATTTTTCCGAGGAAACATGTTCTTTTGTGAAACTATTGCCTATGTCCCGGGAAAAAAAGAAAAAAGGTTAATTGTAGATGCTTCGACAGAAAGGGAATTTCATAAATCACTCGATAAAATAATTTTAAAAGGAAAATAGAAGTGTTTAATGTAATCTTTAAACTAAAGGTGTGTTTGTTTGAGCGTTTGAATAGTAGAACATTTGAATTGGAATAATTGTACAAATATGAATATGTGTTTGATGTGATATTTTGAATGTAAAATTAATTTTTAGTATAATATGAAAATAAAAAATACTAATCTTTGATATGATGTGTCTGAGGAAAAAAATATTTTTATTGTAGATTATATATAGTGTGAAAATAGATCTAAAATATATTATATATATAGCTATATTACTATTTATCTCATACTCCATTCGTCTCTTTTGCTGCAGTGTTGATGGTTTTAGAGCATTAGTCGAGCGACACTTAGAGGTTGAAGTTACCGGTTTTGATAGAAATGGAAAACCTTTAAAAATAGATGCTTCGGGATGGCAAGCTCGAATATTTCAACATGAATGTGATCATTTGGATGGAACTATTTATGTCGACAAGATGGTTCCAAGAACATTCCGGACTGTGGAAAACTTGGACTTGCCTCTTGCTTTCGGGTGCCCCAAAATCGGCGTTCGATAATGCATTTTCCAAATATGTAAAGTTTTAAAAATCTCATTGCGATTATTTGGAACATTTCTTGTGCAATGTTGCCGGTGAGCTCGATTTTATTGTAGGTGCATTTATCGGTGAAGTTTTTAAAAAGCTCGATTTTTTTTTTTTTTTTTTTTTTTTTAGTTTTAGATGTTTTTTTTTTTTTTTGAGTTTTTAGTTTTAGTTTTTTGGTTTTAATATACAGGAGTTTGGACATAATTAGTTTTGTGAGGAATATATATATATATATATCTTATTTTTAAAAAAAAATATAAATATTGAATAATAAAAAGTAAAATGAATTGAAAAATATATATATATATATACGTATATATATTGTGTATAATGGAGTTTAGATGACATTTTGTTCTTTTGAGTTGAATATGAATATTAGAGTAGAATTGGAAGTATTTTAACCGTAAAAATTGAATTTAAATTTATTTGATAATTACAAACAATTGAATTTATGTTATATTACGTACTATCTTCGTCCGATTTTAAGGTCTCATTTACATTTTGCGTGATCTTTAAATATTAATTATTATATCAAAATATAGTAAAAATTAAGAAAAATTAGTAAATGTAACTCATAGAGACAGACAGATGGAGTTTCATTCAATATTTATATTTAGGGTGTGTTTGTTTGAAGGATTTTGGAGGATTTCCACTATTCATCCAATTTTTTCCCCCCAAAAATATCAAATCAAACACCTATTTTTCATTTTTTATATTATACTAAAAATCAATTTTACATTCAAAACATCACATCAAATCCTATTTATATCACATCATACAACTATTCAAATTCAAAATTTTTACTATTCAAATCCCAATCCAAAATCCAAACCCCCAAACAAACACACCCTTAGTATAACTTCTTACTTAGGGTGTTTGACAATTAGCTTATCTGTTAGCTGATTCAATTAGTTGTTAGTCGTTAACTTATTTGATTAGCTTATTATATTAGTTGTGTGTAGTAAAGTGTTTGGTAAAACAGTAGATCGATATTAGCTATTTATACGTAAAATGGCAATTAAAGACATTTAAATATTTTATTTTCAGAATACTATATTATGTTAAATATTATTAAATTTATTATGTTACTATATTTATACATTGAAATAATTTTATTTTATCTTAATTATATTAAACATAAAATTTATGTGATAATATATATAAATAGTTTAATAATATTTATAATATTTTTTTTTACCTAAATTCTATTAAATTTATAAATTTATGAATAAAATAATTGATATATAAGATTATTAATCATTTTAATTGCTTTAAATTTATAGAATGAAAATCGTAACTTAAAAATATAATTTTATTAGAAAAACAATATAAATATATAATAACCATTATTTTTATGTCATGAGATTAAAATAAACATAAAAATTATTTTAAAATGTATAATACACTACAAGTCATCTAAAATAAACAACAAATATATCTAAGTAACCTAACAAATTTTATTAAAAAGGTAATAAAAAAAAATAACAAAATATTCACAAAATATTAAAATGGAAAATATAACCAAAAAATAAAAATAAAAATATATACACCCATTCATACAATATATATATATATATTATGTCTACTTACAAAATATTAATAATTTAATAAATAAATATTAATTTTATATTATCTATACATTTTTTATGTACTAATGAAAAAAATCATTTTAAAATAAAAATATTAAACAATTACACTCATTTATATATAATTTTTTCTTTTTGGATGAAAGATATTAGCAGTGTACTTATAAAAAAATCAATTTTATATGAATGAATAATATTATTGAGAAATTATAAAATAATAATAATAATAATAATAATAATAAGGTGTTTATTTATTTAGTGTTTACGATTTGTAGTGCTTTTGTCGTGGATAATAAAAAGAAAAAAAAAATTATGTAAAGATTATGATCACATTATTGACTTTTACGATAAATACAAATATGTAAATTAATAATTTATAAATATTTTATATATTAATATGTTTATTTGATTGAATATTGCTTGTGTAAAATAACACAACAAAATTTTGGCATTTTTTTTGTTTTTTTAAAGAAAATAATTATTATATTTTTTTATTTCCTCTAAGAGTTATTATAATCATTAAAAATAATAATAAAAAGCACTAATTCAAACTTTTCATTTATTCATTCAATCAATCAATTTTATTTAACAATGATAATTTTTTAAACTCAAAATTTTGATGTGTTGGGTTTGGTTTTAGCACAACATGTGCATCGGAGGAACACGTAAGAATGGCGATCATATGATGCATGCCACAACATATATATTTATATTTATATTTATATTTGTATATTAATATTTTATATTTATATTTATATTTATATGTTGCCATATATATTTTGATTTTAAATTATAGGGTATTACAATTGATTTATGGTAAAGCAAAAAATATTGAAATGAAACTATAAAGAAAGACATGTTATTCGAATTTATTTTTATTTTGATTTTTAATATATTGATCAAATGCAATATAATAAATAAATAATGGGAAATATTATTATCAACAAGTTAAATTGAGTTGCAAAGTTAGATGTAAATTGGACATTTGGTATTAGTTAGTTAATTAATAGCATCCAATGTATTATACACTGATTTAATATTCTATTTCAATTAGACTAATACGTTTTCAACAGATATATTATTATTATTATTATTATTATTATTATTATTATTATTATTATCATTATCATTATTGTTGTTGTTATTATTATTATTATTATTATTATTATTATTATTATTGTGTTAGTATCCTTTTAAAATAAATTGGTTAAATTATACAAAATTTGCATGTGATTTCATGCAATTGCGCCAAATTTCATGTGTCAAACTCTTTTGTTGTTTCATAAAATTCTGCTTCTAACCCATTCGACGGTCTTTATTTAACGGTATTTGACATAAATGCGCTCAAACTGCGAATAAATTTTAAAATTTCAATTTTTAAATACCTAAAATTACAAATATATTCATCTTTCTTATATTTAACCTTAAAAAATAGTAAATGTATTCAAAAATAGTTATTTTTATCAAGAGTTTATTTTTACTGTTTTTTATTCTAAAATTTATTCGCAATTTGGGCACGTTTAGGTCGTTAAATAAGGACAGGAGCAATGATATAGTTTAATTTTTTTTATATATATACTAAAATTATTTCGATGTAGTTTGATATTTTTGGTATATACTGAAATATTAAAATTATTTCAATATTGTTTTGATATTTATTTTTTCTAAAATTATACTCCCTCCGTATATTTGCTCAGTACAGTAATTGAGGTATTTTTGTCATTTTTCTTTATTTTTGTACTAACCTTTTTGATATAATATTAATATTCAACACGCAACAAAACGTAAATATGGCCCTTAAAGCCGAACAGAAACAGTAAAATATTTTAAATTTTGATATTTCGACAAATATATATATATATATTACAGTAATGTATACAGTATAATCGGCTATTTTTAAAATTGGGATCCTTATGCATTATACATGCTTCCAAAATCCAGATTGAATTTTAAAGTTGGAATTAGAAATGGATTGGTTAGGTCAATTTTGATGACCTAACAAACCACGTAGCTAATCACAAACGAAACCATTTGAAGATATATATATATATATATATTATATGAACACATAGTGATCATCGTCACACAAAAATCATTTCGAACTTAGCAATTATTATCATCAATAATTAATGCCAGCCAGAAGCATACCAATCTAATTTCTTATCTCAAAAGGATCTTCCCAATATCCATTCCTAGCTCAAAATCCAGATTACATTTCATCATTTGGAATATTAACCATTTATCCTGTCGTTTCCCCAAATTACAAAATCCTAAAGCCAATTTGAACAGGTGTTTTTGCAGAGAGGATGTAAATGTTTGCATATAGAAGAATTGGATTTATACAGAAATGGAAGTGCCAAATCTTTTGGATTATAACAACCATAGGAACAGATATTTTACACAAACTGAAGAACAAGCGTATAGATTAAAGGAAAAGGAGAAATTATACGCACTGCAGCATAAATCACAGTAAGGAAGAGTATATATATATGTGTATATATATATGGATATATACCAGAGAGGCTAAAATCAAACAAGCAGCACAACTAAAATGAATTTCCTACCTCGATTTCATCGAGATCGCCGTGTGAGCGCATTACGCCGCCGCGCACTGCGTCCAGTTCCCCTCCGACGCCGCAGAGAAGCGATTTCACAAAGAGCACTCACACCACGCGCTTTGCAGACTTCGGCGGCCGGCGGCGCGTGTTGTTATCTTTCGCGAGCGCAGTGCAGAAGCAACAGGCGGAAACTCTCGGCGACGGCGGCTCTACCGCCGGAGACACTCTTCCGGTCCGAAATCCGCGTCCTCCGTTGGATCTACTCCTCTCGATCGCCAATCCGGTGAGCGGAGACGGATTCCTGGCTGCGCCGTCCTCTGACTGAGGTGCGTCGTCGGTGATTTTGTGTTGGTCGGCGTGGTGATTCAATTCGGCGGACAGGAATTTGTCGTCCCAAACCAATCCCGAGGAGCCCTGTCTCCTGAACGAAACTGCAGATCTCTGCAAACCTGCCATCCAAATCCCTAATTTTATCCCTTTCCGTAGTTTTTGAGCACTCCTATTGCCAATTAGCACCCTACAATATATATACTCCGATACTCATACAAATATATATATATATGTATATATCATATGTATGTATGTGTATTTGTACATATACTATTGTATCTACTATTAATTCAAAAACTTATTTTTTATTTTATATATTATTCTAAAAATCAATTTTACATTCAAAATATTTTATTAATACATATTTATATCACATCGTACAACTATTTTAATTTAAAATTTTATTATTTAAATCTAACTTAAAATTCAAACTTCCAAACAAACGTGCCTTTAGCCGAATATAACCGTATCTTCTATTATTGTTATGTTATTTATACTAAGTAATTATTATTATTATTATTATTATTATTTGACATGTACGTGGCCATATCAATTCACATTAATTATTTAATAAAAGTTTAACTATCTTTACAATGTCTAAACTTTTGTATATAAATTGATATATTTGAAATGAATATAATTATTTGGTATTCTTTTATTCTCATAATAAATGACAAGCTTTTTTTAAAAAAAAATTATCACAAAATAACTTATATATTTCTATTTTTAATATAATATATTTAGCAAGTTAATTAAATCTAAGCCACATTAAAAAATAATAATAATAATAATCATTGTATTTTTTAGCTCTTTTTTTAATGAATAAATATTTTTATATAAGAATTTATATTAATCATAAATAAATATTTATTTATTTATTTAGTTTTATTATAAAATAAGTTATTCAAAAAAAATTATTCTCAATAAAATAATATTTATATTGTATATATTTTATTGAAATATAATTTTTTAAATATTTATTACCTATATTCTAAACTTTTTAATAATAGATATTAATATATTAACTCATATTTAAAAACTAACACTATACAACACCACCACTCACATAAAATAAATAATATAATATAATACTTCACTATCATTAACATTTCACTCATTTAAATTTAGTAGCACAAATATGGAAGGAGTATAATTTCATGAATGAAAAATAACATTTAATATTTTATTTTAAAAAATTAAAAATTAATAGTAAAAGATAAAGAATGAAATGTAAAAAATACAATATTTATTATTAATTATTAGATATAATTATTGTAATATTGGATTTTTTTTATTAAAAAATTACTCATATTTACAATATAATATAATTTTTTATCTTACAAAATAATTTTTTTTAAAAAAAATAATAAAAATTGCATTATCCAAACGACATAAAATAATTTCAAATATTTCTACAATTTTCAAATACTAATAACAAAAATCTAAAACACAAAAATAATTTCTACAATTGTCATGCATCTATTTAGCTGCTCTCAAATGCCTCTTCTCACCTGAATTCTTGCTTGCCGATATCCGATTGAGAGTTTTTGGTGGCGAGGAAGAAGGGAGAAGAAAGTTTGTGTTCTCACCTAAATTTTTTCTTGCCGATCTCCGATCGAGAGTTTCTGATGGCGAGGAAGCAATGAAGAGGAGGTTTGGGAAGAAGGTTTCCGTTGATTGTCGAGTGAGTACAACGACAATTGAGGTACAACAATGACAGGGCAAGCGGAGATTTATTGTATCCGGTGATCAGGCTTCGATCGGAAGGGTGGAAGAAAATATGCTCCATTTATTTTGTAAAAGAAAAAAGAAAAGAGAACGCCAGAAATGACTTGAAATGTGCATCTACTGCACGAGGCATTTTCCACGGTGATCGATATTTTTGCCTCCAAATTAAGGTTGTTATGTGCAATTTTTTACAGACTTGAATAAAATGATCTCGCAAACTACCTATAAGACATTATATTTGCTTTAAGAAACCCAAAATGGCTATTAAATTTATTTTTTAAAAAAACAAAAATTATCAATAGAATATCACACTTATATAGTTTAGAAGCAATTATCGAAAATCTAAAATTAAAGTTCAAGAAAAAGTATGCTCAAATGAACAAACATTAAAATTTGAACATACTCAAATTGAAAAAAATTCCATGAAAATATCTACTTTAGGATAGGGACATATGCTAATTACATTCTTTTATTAGGAGTTCGAGAGGAAGAATCATATTGAAGTGTATACATAAGAGTGAAGTTACGGGCTGACTTTTTAAAATTCAGCATCATACTTACATTATACTTACGTCTTAAAAGTTAATAATTATAATTATAATTTATATAATTAAATAATAATAAAGTTAATATAATTATGTATAATTATTTTTAAAGCATAAATATGACACTGGATTTTAAAAATTGAGCATCCTAACTCATCCGTATACAAAAATATGTGAAAAAAAAAAAAAAAAAGAAAATTATGGAAAGATGAGAAGGGAACTATAAAAAATAATATTAATAAAATTTAATGATAAAACTCATAAGATGGTTAAATAAAATTTTAGATTTACGATGGTTTATGAAAAAAATTTATGAGGGAGTTAATAAATTTAATGAAACGAACAAGGATAAACTTCGCTTGGAATAGAATATTGATTGGAGATTTATGGGCACAATATTAATTGTTTCAATCAACATATAAAAATATCATAGATAGCATATGAAAATACTAGCCTATTACCCGTGTTATGCATGCACTACAAAAAATAAATAAAAGAATGAATACAAAATAACAATGAAAGTACTAAAATAAAAATATAGTAATTTTATAAATTACTAAAATTTATCTTAATTTTCTGTATGAATTTTCTCTAATATTCTTTTAAATAAAATATTCGAAATTTAAATATAATCTACAAAATTAGAAAAAAATATTTTAATATAATATTCAAAACCAAATCAATTAAAAAATAGTATTAAATAAGAATGAAAAAAATTTATTAGTAAAAAATAAAAATAACACAATGTATAATTAAAAATACATAGATAATAAGAATAAAAGTAATAAAATAGAAATATATGTATATATATTAAAATTTACCATAATTTTGTGTACAGTTTCTTTAAATATTCTTTCAAATTAAAAGATAACAAATTTAAACATAATATAAAATATTAAAAAATATAATATAATATAATAAAAAAATCAAATCAATTAGGGAAAAAAAAAACAAATACTCAAGAATAAAAAATATTTTATTAGTAGAAATAAGAATAAAATAATATATAATTTTAAAAAATATATATATATACAATAATACTCGAAACTAAATAAATTAGTAAATATATACACAATAAAAATAAAAAATATTTTATTAGTTAAAAATAAGAATAACACAATAGATAATTTTTAAAAATACATATACAATAGTAATTAAGTATTAGAACACTATACACGAAACTAAATAAATTAGTAAATTAATACATAATAAGAATAAAAAAGAATCGAAATTAGTAGAAAATTAAAATTAATTTAATTATATTATTATACATAATAAAATAAAATAAATAAACAGAAAGATAAAAAAAACTACTATATATGATTTTTTTTTGTTGGAAGAATAAGATATTATATGCATAAATAGTATATAAAGATTTTTCAAGTGGAAATCCTTCAAGGTAAAAAATAAAAAATCACGAGTTGTCCAAACCATAATTAATTCACAATAATAAAATAAAATATAAGAGTTGTCCAAACCAGAAAACGCAATGAATTACGAACACTTCTTATTGATCCAATGATCCAACAGCGCTGATTTTCCAAATCCTGTGCCGTATTGGATGAAAATCTCATAATAATTTTTTTTGTTGTGGCTTAATTTCTCATGTATATATAGATGTACGAAACCCTAACTTTATCTATATTTTTGTTATTTATAATCTCATTAAATCTGAATTTTATTAGATTATTTGTTATTATAACAAATTTTAATTAATTATCCAAATTTATTATTATTTAAAAAAAATTCCAAAATTATGAGAATGCATGAATTAAAGTGTCTTATACTATATATATTAATATGATATGATAACACACTACTAAAATCTTATGAATTTTCTTTTTATCATTTTTTATTTCTTTATTTTATTCATTGTACTTCTTTTGTCATTTTAAATTCATACAATTTATTTATTTCCTTCTTTTTTCTTTTTTTTGGTATTCACTTGCATTATTTTTGTTTTTTTTTTTCATTTGATATAATATTATGAATTAAAAAAGTCACATATTTTTTTAAAGAGAAAATTATTGATGAACATTATTGTGAATTATTTACCCAATTGAATGATGCTTGTTACTTCAACAATATTAGTTACAACAATTTTATTATTATTATTATTATTAGTAATAAATTTGTACTAACTGGTCCTCACTCAATCTGTGTGATTTTCCACTTTTTTCATAAATAATATTGATTTGTTTGCTGTCCGGAAGATGGTTTGGTGGTGTAGGAATTAGAATTGTGACCATGAGACCATAGTTTCAAAATCCCCGATGCTTTAGGTCATCTGCCAATAGACGGGAGGTTTATACTATATAGTATATTTAAAATGCTAAATAATCAATCATAGGTTAGGTTGGTTTTATATGTTGATTTGAATAGTTATTTTTATATAATATTTTGTAAAACAAATAATATATTATTTTTATAAATAAAAAAAAAAAGGAAGAAGTGAATGGTAAAAAATTGAAATAAACTTCCAAATAAACTTATAATATTTTTTTATGCGATTTGCTAATTTATTTAATTTGTCATTCAATATATAAGTATCTAATATATTTATACTAGTATTATATTTTAATTGGTTCCGTATGTAATTTAATATATTTATAAAATAATTCAATAATTTTTTTTGTCGATTAATAAGTTTTTAACATAATAATATTGTATAATATTTTATACGATTAAATTTTCGTACCGATCAAGTCAAATAAGTATGATTTTACCCAATCAGCACATTTAATAAAAACATATAGCATATGTTTAACAACACAAAACATATGATAATACAATATTTATATATATATATATATATAACTCATGATAACACTTTATATAATTATACATAGTACATCATAATATTAATTTTAGTACAATAAACTATTTATACAATACAAGATAATATATAAATTGCACA